TATTTACATAGTTGTTTTGAATAGTTTTTATCTAAATCCGAACTAACTACAAACAGAATCAAACCAGAACAAACTCGACCAAAGTTGAGAATATTTTTACAGTATTATCTAAAACCGAACTAAATATCAAACCAGAACAAACCCGACCAAAGTTGTTTTGGTTCAGCTACAAGATCAATTGCATTTGAGTGTCCGAAACATACGGCGTGCTTTCAGTTCATTGGGTTAGCAGTCAGTCTTTAGATCTGTGTCGGTGATCGACGCGGCATTGGAGAATATATAATAAATCTTCGAAAACACGAAATTGCGCAAATAAAAAACTATTTAAAAAAAAAAAAAAAAAATCCGTCCTTTTGACAACGGGATATTGGCGTTTTAAGGCCGTGACCCACGAGCTCGATCACTTGATTCTGGAGTTGAATCTAACCCAACTAGCTCCCGATCCGTTAAATCTTACTCCCTTGTTCACCAAGTTGCGATTTTTGAGGATCTTTTATCGCATCCCGTATCTTCTGGTAATCTTTGCCTCAATCTAGTTCGTTACCTTTTTTTGTTTTGTTTTGTTTTTCGGCGAAACTCTCTTCTCTAGATCTCATTGCTTCTGTCTAGGTATTGCTTTGATGCCTGATTCGAACTGATCTTCTTTCAAGTTTCTTTAACTTATTAGCTCATGTTTTGTCCTAAAATCTTGGCTTCGTGTTGTTGTTTATTTTTTCTCCTTTCAATTTGATCCAGTTGGAACCATTTTAAACTTGATATTATTCACTCATTGTGTAGTAAAGATCTTACTGTCAAAGTGAATTCGTTTTAGCTTCGTCACCTAGATCTGTGTTTATCATTTTTTGCTCTATCATCATAATCTACATAAGAAAATTATTGCTCTTGAAATGGTTCGAGCTTTGATATTAAACGCATCTCGTTTTACTGATTTTGTGTGCTTTACGTATTGCGCCATTGTCACATGTTCTTTGTAACTGGTTTTCAGGTGAATGTGAGTAAAGGTTTTCATTGACTCGAGAGAACATGGCGATGGGGAAGTATTCTCGGGTAGACGGGAAGAAATCATCGAGCTATGGATTAACCATTACCATTGTTCTCCTAGTTTCCCTCTGTTTACTTGGGACTTGGATGTTCATGTCTGATTCTGTTGGCTACTCATCAAGTGATACCGCAAAAGATTTGGAGTCTTCTGCTACTAAGAATGGCTTGAGAGATGAAGAAGATCCCAAGGACAACCAAGTGAAGAACGAGTCTGATGAGGGAAACAAGTTGGATGAGAGCTCTGGCGAGAAAACTGAGGAAAGAAAGGAGAATGATGATGCAAATGAGGAGAAAGAGAAGAAGATTGTGAAAGAAGCAGAAGCTGAAAGTGATGAAGCAAAGGAGAAAGAGAAGACGCAACTGGAAGAGAGCACGGAAGAAAACAAACCAGAGGGAACAGAAGAGAAACCGGAAGATAGTGTTAGTGAAACTGACGAGAGTAACAACAACAAGAACACGAACAAGGAAGTGTTTCCAGCTGTTGACCAAGCTGAGATTACAAAAGAGACGAGCACAGGAGATGGAGCTTGGTCAACGCAACTGGCTGAGTCGCAGAAGGAGAAGAAGTCACAAGACTCAAGCAGCTATGGATGGAAGACTTGCAATGTGACTGCTGGACCAGACTACATCCCTTGCCTTGACAATTTGCAAGCTATCAAAAAGCTTCATAGCACAATGCATTACGAGCACCGCGAGCGTCATTGTCCAGAGGAGTCTCCACGTTGCCTTGTGTCTCTCCCTGATGGGTATAAACGGTCCATCAAGTGGCCAAGCAGCAGAGAAAAGGTGAAGTTATTAGAATAAATAACTGTTTTGTGCATTCTTTAAAAAATGATCTTTGTCGTCATGACATTATGTTGTGTGGTTTGCAGATCTGGTACAGCAATGTTCCTCACACCAAGCTTGCAGAGATTAAAGGACATCAAAACTGGGTGAAAGTGAGTGGTGAACATCTCACTTTCCCTGGTGGTGGTACTCAGTTTAAAAACGGTGCTCTTCACTACATTGATTTCATCCAACAGGTAACACAGTTTTTGTATATTGTAAAGTTTTCTCATTACTAGGCATGCATGATAAAGTACTTGAAGAGTTTTATCACATTGTTGGTGCAGTCATATCCTGCGATTGCGTGGGGAAACAGAACACGTGTTATACTGGATGTCGGGTGTGGAGTTGCTAGCTTCGGTGGTTACCTGTTCGAAAGAGATGTTCTTGCTTTGTCATTTGCTCCCAAAGATGAGCACGAGGCGCAGGTGCAGTTCGCGCTGGAACGTGGTGTTCCTGCAATATTGAATGTTATGGGAACCAAAAGATTACCCTTTCCTGGTTCTGTTTTCGACCTTATCCACTGTGCTCGCTGTAGAGTCCCTTGGCATATTGAAGGTACTTAAGCCTTTCCCATTGTATATATCTTCTTTTACTTTCAACAGAATGACATTTTTGTTTTGTTGTTGTTTGAAATGAAGGTGGTAAGCTTCTTTTGGAACTGAATCGTGCCTTGAGGCCAGGTGGTTTCTTTGTCTGGTCAGCGACTCCAGTCTATAGGAAGAACGAGGAAGATTCTGGTATATGGAAAGGTAAGAAATTTTTTCATTCTTTCTTCTTTTTTTTAAAACTCAAATAGATTTCTAACTTTGGAGATGCGTTGTTGTGTGTTGTAGCAATGTCGGAGCTAACAAAGGCAATGTGCTGGAAGCTGGTGACGATAAAGAAAGACAAATTGAATGAGGTTGGTGCAGCTATATACCAAAAGCCAACTTCAAACAAATGCTACAACAAAAGACCTCAAAATGATCCACCTCTCTGCAAAGACTCCGATGATCAAAACGCAGCCTGGTATGATTTTTGATGCCACCTCTCTGCGTCGTTTTACTAGTAAACCAGTGTTTTGGTTTTGATGTTGATTTTTTTTTACGGTTATAGGAATGTTCCACTTGAGGCATGTATGCATAAAGTGACAGAAGATGCATCTAAGCGAGGAGCGGCGTGGCCAAACATGTGGCCAGAGAGGCTTGAGACTGCGCCTGAGTGGTTGGATTCACAGGAAGGTGTTTATGGGAAACCTGCACCAGAGGATTTCGCAGCGGACCAAGACAAGTGGAAGACTGTTGTGGCAGAGTCTTACCTTAACGGCTTGGGAATAGATTGGTCTAATGTGAGGAATGTGATGGACATGAGAGCAGTCTATGGAGGGTTTGCTGCTGCACTCAAGGATATGAAGCTGTGGGTGATGAATGTGGTTCCTGTTGACGCGCCGGATACACTTCCGGTCATATTTGAACGTGGTTTGTTCGGAATCTATCATGACTGGTGTGAATCATTCAACACTTATCCAAGAACTTACGACCTCCTCCATGCAGATCATCTTTTCTCTACCTTGAGGAAGAGGTAGATAACGTTCTCTAGTATACAATGCTGTGAAGAGCTTCATGAATCAAACCCTTTTCTTGTTTTTGTTTTGTTGCATTACAGGTGCAGTTTGGAGTCGGTAATGGCTGAGATTGATCGGATACTTAGACCAGAGGGAATTTTGATCATAAGGGATGACACTGTAACGATAGAGGAAGTTGAGAAAATGGTGAGATCCATGAAATGGAAAGTGAAGAAGACGCAGTCGAAAGACAATGAAGAAGGCATTGTTTCAGTGCAGAAGTCATGGTGGCGTCCTACAGAAACTGAGACAATCAAATCGGCTATAGCTTAAACAAAGACGGAAAAAGCATCATCACTTGAATATAGTTTCAGTTTCTCATCAAATTGATTGTTTACTTTTATTAGTTTGATATTTCATATTTGTATTCATTGACATTGAAAAAGTTGTATACTATGAATTCTATAACACAAGATCGCTTATTATACCACTAGCTCTCAAAATGTATACAAATTTTGTTCTCTTCTCAGCGAAAGAAAATAAACTTTTCTTCTCTGGAATCTTGTATACATAGTCTCAATGAGATAAAGGCGGTGAAGAACAAATGGAATTTGAATGAGATAAATGCAAAGAGAGCATTGAGAAAAGATGGTCGGTTGACAAAACTTTCAGAATCAAGTCGGACAAATTATAAGTATACGCACTGATATATTCTCCAGACAAAACTACAAGTCTGCAAAGAAACTAGTAGAATTATGAGTATACGACTGATATATTTTCCAAACAAGAAACTACAAGTCTGCAAAGAAACTAGTTGAAGTGTCCACCCGATCTGGTTTACTTTTTGTTTTCCTATTAGTAGAACCTGTACAAGCAAAAAAAAAACTCGAAATGAGAGATCATGTTTCTACAATGTCAAGAACATGTTTCAAAATATTCCAGAATGTTTCTCTTTTACCTTTGGAAGGCTTTGGAGGACTATCATCGTCAAGGTCCATCTCATCATTGTCGTCGTCACTGTCACTGTCTTTGTCTGCTGCAGGTACAGGTGCGTTTCCCAAGTTGCCACTAGAACCTTGTATAATCGCTTCTAGGTCCCACAACTTCATATCACCAAGAAACAAAGATCCATTTATTGAACTCTTTTAACTGTAAATGGAGGGCTTGTGTTTAGAGAGAGGACACGAATGATACCTTCAGCATATTGTCATGAGCCGTGCTACCGAGAAACCTCTTATCATGCGAGAGAGCTACAAGAGGGATTTGAAACAAAGACAAAAAGTTACAAACTCATTCTAGTTAACAATGATAAGCAAAAAACTGTCATTAGAAAAAACAGAGGAGAACTGGAACTACCAAGATCTTCGATAGGAAACTCGTGAGACCCAATTGGCTGTATGATTCTGTTTGGCAGTATTCCAACGAGGCTGAGGAAAATGTAATAAATTTTGAGTTAAGATCAACAGCAAAAAAAGTCTTGTCCTGTGGAAGAAGAGTTTGTTTTTTTGGTTACCTAAGTATTCCATTATCACATCCAGTGATAACTCTGTCCTCATCAAGCTACACCATAAATCCACAAGACTTCCATTAGTCAATAGCCCTCTAATGTCACAGAACCAATGTGCTTACAACAAAAAATAAACAAATCCCATCTCACCTTTAATAGAGTATCAACTGAGTTCGGAGCATGATCAATAAACCGATCGCTGTACATGAAAATAAGGTCTCAACACATCATATTTCCATTGCCTTAAATCATTAACATAGTTAGTGTTAGAGAGATATGGCCTTACCTGCAATCCTTGAAAAATCCCCATGAATACAACATGAGTGTACCATCCTGAGTTCCACAGACAACTTTACGGCCGTTCTGAGATCAAATCAGATAAGAGCAACAAATAATAAACTTTAGATACATTCTTGTATATGATTACTGTTTGATATGAATGAATGAGCACATAATGAAGATTACCTTCATTATAACAACAGAAAGTAGTTCGTCTTCAGAAAACTCAGACTGAGATTGGACCTTGTTCGTTCTGAGATTACAGACAGATAGAGTCCCATCTCCACTAACAAAATTGTCAAAAGAAACCAAAATGAAGAGAGATAAATCTTCCAAGAAAACTTAAAAAGGCACTATCTTTTCATTAAATCAAATGACTACAAAAAATCCAAACCTTGTTGCAACTAGCTTCATTGAACTGGACTGAAAGGTCATGTCAGAAATGTAATCCTCGTGTACATTAAACTCGTGAGAGCAAGACCGCTGTCTCGTATCCCAAATCTGAGCAGATTGAAAAAATATATTATCATTAAACAAGCACATCATTTCACTCCACAAGAGCAAATACCTCCAAAGAAATTTGGGTAAAAGAAACTTTGTACAGACCTTAACGCAGCCTTTATCATCCCCTGAAGCGATGGTTGTCTCAGTCACAGTTATCAAAGTATTAACAGCATCACTACAAGACCAATATTAAACATTTCTCAATCACTAAAGCTCAAAGCCAAAGTGAATCCAAAATGATAAAGAAAAAAAAAGGGAATTGAATTACTCGTGAGCATTGTCAAGACGAGCAACAATAGCACCAGTTTCCACTTCAGAAGCTAGAATTGAGCGATCAGCTGAAGCTGTGACGATTCCTACAAAACCCACAAGAAACATAAAATGTTAAGCAGAAGGAGAATTGTTCGAACATGAGCTCAGATTGTTTATGGAAGTTAAAGCAACAAACTTTGGCCATCGTCAATGAATCGAACAGCTCTGCAAGACTCCGTATGGGCACGAACTTTACGCTCCCTAAACACCAAATTTCAACGAGCTCTTATAGACCAACCACAGCAAAAAAGAGACAAACTTTGGAGGTAGGAGAAAGTGTTTAATACCTGACAATTGAAGAAGAATCTGCTTCGTATCGGTAACTGCAAAAGAGAGAAAAGAAGTTGGAGATTGATGCTTGTAGTAGTGAATTGGAAACGAAGGAAGAGAAAGAGAAGGGCTTTTGAATTTACAGATGCAAGCGGCCATCGATGAGACCAGCAGCGACTAGATTCTTCGATGGATGGAAGTCGATACCGAACGAGTTGGCTCCCAAATCGATCTCCATCACCACTACAGGATGTTGATTAAACCCAACTGCTCAAGTAACAGAGAGAAGTGACCAAAGAAAAGAAGCCGTCGGGACGAATTCAGTAGGGTTTATTTAGGGTTTTCCGAGAGATCCTCTGTTTTCCAGTTTTGCAATTTGGACCGGTTTTCGTTTGTCTTCTTATTTTATTAATTTTTTTTTTTTTTTTTTGTATATTTTCAACACTTTTCCACAGGTCTTTAAAATTTAGATTTTGAACATTTTGCAATTCTGGTTTTTAAAAATCATAAGTTTAACTCCTTTAGATTTTGAACATTTCACTTCTACCGACAAGAAAACACGTCCGTAAAAAGGGAAGATTTAAACTTCACAAACTAATTGCAATCTCAAAAAAATGCATGTGTGCTTTGCTGAAGGATGAGGGATCATGTCCGGAGATCAGAGACGATGATCTCAGAGTGGTGAAAGTAGGGAATGAGTGTGATTTATGATTGAAGATTGTACATTTGAAAATTAACCAACTACGTGGTTAGAATAATCAAATTTAACCTCAACATGATTATTAGTAAAGTCCAACCATGCTCAAGTACATTTAGACACCAATACCATTACCAGAGATGTTTTGGCCACATCATCTATGGGGGATCCACACGCATACTAGAGTTGAAGTCATATATAAAGAGGTAATTCTCATTCTATAGAACTCAAAAGTCTGATTAGAGAGAATTATTGTTTTTCTAATCAATTGGACTCTGCAAGTGTTCTTTAATCTTCCATTGTAAACAGGTGTTCTTTAATTATTAAATGAAGAACTTTGTCACATAATGTTAATCAGGGAGTCTTGTTGTACTATTGACATTTCTTAATTGTTTTGAGAGGTTCAGGTTTTTGGCCCATCGATTTCTTATCACCAATCCAAAGTTTTGAAGCAGTCCATGAAGTGAACAATCCGAGTATTTATCTCTTGATTTATCCAATGAATCTGTAAGTTATAGAACGAACACATAATGATCAAAACAATTTACTACGATTTAAGTCTAAATTGAAAAACAAAATAAGATGTCAAAATTGGGAGAGATGTAAACAGGGGTACAGTAACAGAGAGCTTATGTATAAGAGAAGCAATCAGTGTCGCAAAACCTGTTTTAATTTCAATTTATGCCCTGAATTACGAAATGTCCAACTACTTTTTTTAACTTTGGACATCAGATACCAAAGGCAATTCAACAAACAAAGTTTATAGATATGCTAAAATAGATTTGAAAATTTTGTAAATAAAACTAAGAAGAGGTCAGATGGTAGTGCATGTCATTGATTCAACACTATGTTTCAGATTTAATAGACGTTGGATAATTATCCTCATTCCTCTTCTAAAGACAGAGTTTCGAAACCACAAAAAAAGAAGGAGAAGAAGAAGAAGAAATTGAATTGAAGGAGCTAAGAGAATCAGATACTGAAGTCAATCACCATATTGCAATGAATGCAAATAAGACTGGGGCGACAATTACATATCATCACTTTCCTCGAATTTACCAAAACGACAAAAAGACAAAACCATACTATCAATGAAGAAGAACGATTACGATGAGACCAAACACAACCTAAAGCTAGAGAATGTAACATGATTCGAGCGAAGCAAAGTGAGTATGGTTTCTCGATGATTAGTCTCACGCCGTTATATAATACAGCCACACAAGAGTGCTCGAGTCTAGGGTTTCATATTCAACCAAAACGTCATCGTTTCTCTCTAATTAGGGCCTTTTTTGTCCACTTGATTGGTTGGTCCTTTATGAGGCCCATGTTATTTTGTTTTTAATGTTAAGCTTGTTCGTATTACTCGCTAATTAAGTTTTTTTTTTTTTTTTTTTTTGGTATGAATGTTAAGATTTATACCATTTTCTGAGTTTTACATTGTTGCCAACAACTTAAAGAGCAATACAAGACACATAACCAAAACCAACCCAAAACAATACAAAAGAACCTCGCTAATTAAGTTAGTACACTTAGGAGAACATATAGACCAAAGTTACAAATTTCTTGAAGAACTTAAAAATTACACTCAGGAATAAAGCCAAGCTTTTGTATATAAACCAAACTCATGAACCAACAGCTATGTATCTTGTTTATTCACTCACGAGATAAGAAATTGTAAGAACATATATCTGTAATTCATGAACAATGTACAAAAGTGTTAATTCGACTAAGAATCTTCTCCTACGTGAGTAGTGTGTACATGATAACTCCATGTGCTGTTATGCTACCCCTGAAACTGCTAGATTGAACCATGGCTGATTCCAAATATGTTATCTCAACCCAAGACCATATTTCAACTCAATTAATTTTTACCCACTAATCTTGGACTAGTATCTCTAGGAAAGAAGAATAATTTACCATTAGAAATTTAGAATCCCATATTAATAATTTGCTATGTTACTTTTCTTTAAAAAAAAATCTGAAAAGTATTAGAAAATGTTTTATCTAATCAACAGCTCTTATCATCTAAATTAAGAAGGAAATATAAACTCTATGTCCTTTATTCGACAAATGGATAGATATTGGATTAGAGTATTCGAATAACTGATGACTGTAAAAAAAGAGTGGATAACACCAAATGATAAGTCAATCAATCAATTAGAAAAGAAAACAAACAAAAAAAAACATTAACAAAGGAAAAAAATAACGCCTGAAAGGAAAAGAGGGTTTCATTTGGACAGATATAAACTTGTTCTTAGCTCCTAAACCTGCTTTTCTTCTTTTTCTGTCCATTTCTCGCGACCTTGTTTTGTTCAGATCTGATAGAGACAGAGAGAGAGAGAGAGAGAGATAGAGAAAGAGATTGAGAGAGAGAGAGTCAGAGCTTACGACGGAGAAGATGAGCGGGAAGATCGTCGGCGGTGGTGGTGCGAGTGTCGGAGGGAGGAAAAGCTATAACGGGATATCTGAGATTCCGTCGGGGTCGAGGAAGATGGTTCAAAGCTTGAAGGAAATCGTCAACTGCCCTGAGGCAGAGATCTACGCCGTGCTCAAGGACTGTAACATGGATCCTAACGAAGCCGTCAATCGTCTCCTCCTTCAAGGTTTCTCCTTTTTTTCTCTTTTCCTTTTTTTGTCAATTTAGCATCTGAGAGAGACAATTAGTGTTTACTCCTATTCCATGGAGGTTTCGTAACTTGGATTAGGGTTAGATTGGGGTTTTAAAAAAGTTTCGTCTTTTCAATCATTTCAAGTCCTTCTCGTTGAGCTCATAAGCTCTGTGAAGCATTTTGGAGCTGTATACTTACTTATACTAAATTATTGTTCTTTCACACTATGCAGATCCTTTTCACGAGGTGAAGAGCAAAAAAGAAAAGAAGAAAGAGGTAAGATTACTTGATCTTAGATGTTGTTTTTTGGATTGAGTTTGTTTTCATTTTGTTGTAATGTTGGGAGAGTTTATAAAGATTATACTTTTGGTGTTTTCAGATTAGGGATATACCGGATTCAAGGGCACGAGGCTATAGTAACACTTACAACAACCGTGGGGCTAGAGGTGGTTCTGATCGTTACGCTGGACGAAATGGAGCTTCCTCTTTCACCTCTACTGGTATGTTTATACATTGCTTGTTTGGCTTTATAATACTAAGATCAGAGAACTTACTTAACTCTAGCTATTAATGTTTATATGTTTCGATTCTTCAGATTCGGGAAGCTTCCAAGAAAAAACTACATACAAGAGGGAGAGCGAGAAACAGGCTCATAGAGGTTTTGCTCCTTCTACGCCTGGAGTATCAAGCCACCATCAGATACCACACAGGTTTTCCTTTTGACTGATTCTTGGATATAGAGCTTCTGTGACAATGTTTGCTGCGGTTATAAACTATAGTTTTGCTCATGTATGTATTGTTGTATGTATTTTGCAGTGATTCTGCTCCTACGGACAGTAAAACGCCAGCTGTTACCTCTGGTGGTGGAGGAGTATCACAGCCTGTGTCTGGACATCAAACTCCGTGGTTTGGAGCTGCAGGTCAGAGGTCCATGGCTGACATTGTGAAGATGGGTATACCTCAGAACAAGACAACAAACGCTCGGAAAAATGTTGATCACGAGCGTGAAGTTTCTGCGAATCAGCAAGCGCCTGTGCAAGATGAGTGGCCCTCGATTGAGAAGCCAGTGGCTGCAAGCACTTCTGTATCAGTGGCACCAACTGAGCCAGAGATGAGCAATTCAGATCAACATCTGAAGGGCCACTTGGAAGATACACATTTAGCAGAAGATGGTTCCTTTGGAAATATTGGAAGAGATCATGTGCAGGATGACACTGTTACTGGTGGAGTTGTTCAAGAAGACGACCCTGCAGTGTCATCTGAGTTTGATGAAATTCCATACAGAGACCAAACGCAGAACCATCCTCTTGAGCACCAACAAGGTACGGATTTCACTTTGTATAAGTTATTCTAGCAAAGTGTTTAGTAAATAATTGTTGTATGTTTGATTGAATTTTTCTTTTGATGATATGTCACACCTCATTGGTTCTGTGATATAAATATGAGTCTCTGCATGTTAGACTAATTTTTTGTTTGTTGCTCTAATGCTCTTGATGTTGTCTAATTCCCTGTGTCAATATTCTTTTGCAGACGAAGATAATGTTTCGTCTGTGGCTGCAAACCTTCAAGAATTAAGCATCGAGAACCATGACAAATACTCCTCCCATGAAGAGGATAGACCTGCTGTCGTAATTCCAGATCATCTGCTAATCCATACGGAAGAGTGCGCACAGTTAAGCTTCGGAAGTTTTGGAGGTTTTGGATCAAGATCTTTGAACAACAACATAGAAGAGGCATCTGATGTAGTAGCTCCACAGACTGAACGTGCTGATGATGCTAGGCATGGCCTTATTACTTATTTTCCTTTTCCATATAGTTCTTGAGCTCTTTTTCATTTGTGATCACCATTTAATCAATCGTCTTCTTCACAGAAATATCGAGTTCTATGGAGATGAACATCTAAGGAGCATGTCCAATGGAAATATGGTCCATGCCTCGTCTACTGCAGAAAATTATGATGATTCTTCAGAATCTCTGCTGCCAGAAAACCCCGAAACCGCTCATCAGGAGAACCAGTACTCGTTTGCTCAGTCTGATCAAGAGTATGCATATGAAAATGCCAAGCAGCAACTGGATACTGGATTTGATGCCTCTCAGACAACAAGCATGCAGAATCTTTCTTCGCTAACAAATGTGATGGTAAGCTACATATATTCCAGCTTATGGTATTTGATTATAGCTTTTAAGAGAACCTCCTTTGCTCTTTTAAACATGTATTAGTATTGATTCCTTGTCGTTATTGGTTTCAGCAAGGGTATACAAACTCAATTCCGAACACTCTATTAGCACAGACTGCACAAACTGCAAGGGAGCTTGAGTTTCAGTACTCAACATTCCAAGCCGCACAGTCAATGCCATCAAGAAGCAACGATGCCTCACAAAGTGGCCAAAGCATTTCTATGCCAGAGGTAACTTTTATACTGAAATGCTTCAGTAAAAGAAAACAAAGATGTGGTGTTTTTACACAGTGTTTTGGTTATATTTTCTTACAATGCAGGCGCTAAGAGGTGGTGGTAATCAAACAACGCAGCCAAGCCAGCAGAACTTACCCAATGCTGCTACTGGACCAGCTCTTCATCAACAGCTACCGATGCATCCATATTCTCAGCCGACTGTGCCTCTAACTCACTTTGCCAACATGATCAGTTACCCTATGATGCCTCAGAGCTACCCATACATGCCATCGGCTTTCCAGCAAGCATTTGCTGGTAACAGCTCATACCAGCAGCAACTGGCTGCTTTGTATCCGCAGTACAAGAACAACATCTCCGCCAGTAATTTGCCTCAGTCAGCAACTTCTGCTCCTCCCTCCTCCGTCTATGGGTTTGGGAACTCTAGCAATGCTGGAGCCGGAAACTTCCCTGCTAACCAACAACAACAACAGGCAGCTCCTACTGGGGCTACGCTTAGTTATGAAGAGATCCTGAGTCTACAGTATAAACAGAATAACCATCTATTGTTACTTCAGCAACAGCAACAACAACAACAACAGCAGCAGCAACAGGTAATTGTTTCTCATTTTGACACTTGCATCATGGAAAGGTCTTTGTTTTTTGACATAATTGTTTGATCTCAGAATGAAAACTCGCCTGTATGGCTTCATGGGCCTGGCTCTCAAACAATGTCTGGTGCACAGAGCAACGCATACTACAACCTTCAAGCACAACAACAAGCTCAGCAAGCTCGCCATGCTCAGCAACAGGCGCAGCAGCAGTATGGATCATCACTCGGTTACTCAAACTACTACCAGTCACAAACCGGAATGCCAATGGAGCACCAGCAGCAAAACCCAAGAGACGGTGGCTCCCAAGGCCAGGCCTCAAAGCAGACCCAGCAGCACTGGCAAAACTCTTACTAGGGTGGTGGTTTTTGGTCCTCTCAAGCTCATGGTTATGTCAACTGGTCAAAAGCTGATAACCGGTTATATAGGTTATCGGTTATTTGAGTTGAAGAGGAGAAAGGAACGGATCTTCAGTTCTTCACCATGTCTCTGTGAGTGTATTTATCATCTTCTGTTTAACTTAGGGAACAAGCAAACTCTAATTTGGGATCAATGCAACTAAAACCAAAGAACGAAGCAACAGTTCCTGTGTCTTTTAAAAGCTTTGCCTCTGTGCTCCTTGTATGTATATTAATCTTTGCTTTTTGTTAAAGTAATTTTCAAGTTTTTAAACAACAAACAAAACTCTTATGTTTCTTTCCAACATTATTCTCTAAGACTTATGTGCAAATTAGAGATCACGGGTAGGGATGTGATTTCGGGCTGGCCCGGCCCGTTTAGACCCAACCCAATTATCAAGAAGTCCGTTTAATTTACAGACCCGCAAAAATTGTTCAAGCACGGCTAGGCCCATTTAGCAATTTTCAAGAAATTTTTTTGAAGTTATACTCAAAATTTGAAGTTAAACCAGCATCGACTCCTTAGAGCATGCTTAACGGTAAGCGCTTAATGGGTGCTTATCTAATATCATAATATAAAAGTTGTTTTAAGCACCTTTATAAAAAATTTCAGATTTTTCTGTTTTAATGGGAGACTCTTACAAGCACCCCTATACAAAACTATGCATATTTTCTGCAAGGATTTCAACATTTTGTCAAGGAAAGTGGAGTAAGCACATTGTACAATCTAGAAATCACCAAACACTAGAGCAAATTCCAATCAAAGATAAGTTCATCTTCTAAGAATGGAATGGTTTTGTGGACAATCACATTCACTGTGACTTCCATTCTCCAACTCTCGCAGATTGCAGCATAATGAGAAGAAGCAGCCAATTCCAGAAGCTTAAACTTCCCTTCTCTGCTTGGAGAAGATTATAGCTTTCTTCTGTTTGGATGATTGAAAAGGTATTGAAAGGTGAAGCAGAGAAGTCTTTGCCTGAAGCTTTCACATATGCTTCTTTGAGAGTCCATAGCTTTATCAACCTCTTACGCTGAGCCTCAATGTCTGTTATAGTCGACCAAAAGCTGACTTCAAGGCCTAAATACGGACAAGTTCAAAGTACTTATAAAGTAGAGCAGCAGAGACAATGAGCACATAAAGAAAGAAACAAGTCAGGTCATGTATTACCATTAACACCATTATTTTGCGGAAAACATCAAGTCCTAGAGCTTTTTGTGTTGAATTGAAGGTGCAGTGATCAGTTCCTACAAGCTGCAGAGATAATACCAAGAAAAGGAGAGATAGAATGTTAGCGAGATCTTATGCTATAGGTCATGATGTTTCTCTACTTTATGAAGAGCAAAGAAAAGAACCGGTCAGGATCCCAAAACCAGTGATCATCAAGGATTAGTCCATACACAACAGACTCTCCAATAACCTTATGCCCTGATTTCCGAGCTTTAGCAATCTCGTCCATGGATCACCACTCAGCTTTCACTCCTAAACTTCATCGTATGCAAAAGCAGAAGGAGCTTCCTCTGAGGCTTTCTTATGCTGCTCCTCAATCTATCAACACAGAATCAACACACATAATCACTGAGATGAAATTTGAAAGAAATCTAAGGAATTATGGAAAGAGAATGATGTGGGGGGGGGAGATCAAAATTAAACTAAATTTCCTAAACTCAATCAACAAGATACAAGCAGAAGAAACACCATTTTCAGTGCTTGAGTGAACATCTAAACCCTAATTAACCACGATATACAGCCGATTGTGGAAGAAAACTTACCATGCACAAAGGAGAAACAATTGTCGATTGAGATCAGCAGCAGAAATCGATGAAGCTTTCCAATCAAAATCAAATCGCCAAAATCGCCATCGGAGAAGAGAGAGGGAGGAGAGAGAATCGAAAGAGAAAAATGACAAAGAAAACGCGTTTTGTTTCTTCTCATTAACGACGAGCCAATAAACTCCTGCCACATGGCAGGTAAGCTTCGACGCTTCTCACGCCTGAATAAGCGTCGGATTCTCTCTTTTTATTTACTTTTGAATTAAATTTGGGCTTAGCGCTGCATTAAGCGCCCTGCGTTAAACATGCTCTTATGGCTTCTATCCAAACGTCATGGTATATAGCTTTCCCTTTATTCATACATGATATTATTGTGTGTGTTTATAAAGAAGAACCGTATTACTTGGATTCTTAATATCTAACTTGATCTGATTAATTGTGTACTTTATATTTCAAAAGATCACACCCTAGCATATGACTGTTGGTTAACTAACCTTGTTAAAAGTGTAGTCGATTTGTATATAAGTGATAACCAAACAGAGAGAAATAGTATTACCCATTCATCATAAAAAAACTCAAATCTTTTTAACATTCCATATTGCAAAGAAACAAACCGAAACCGAAAAGCTAACAAACAATGAACCGGTCAGTGAGTAACCATATCTATAACCGATATTAAGTGCCGGTACAGAAGCTACATGCACGAGTTTTTTGGAACCGTCGTCTTCTTTGTGATCTAGTTTCTTATTGAGGATGCCATGTCAAGACATTGCTGTCTCTCTAGCGGTTAATAGGAGTGTGCATACGCTCAACGATCCTATTCAAAGCATCACGGGACATGACAAGCGTGTCGTGGAGCAGAATGCTGTAAACGTTAAGCCCCTGCAAAGAGCATTACATAAACAAGATTCAAGATTCGCTAACCGACAAGAAGAAAAAAGTTTGAAATGGGGGATGATTATGTAAACTTACTATTGATGGAATTATGTTGACATAGTGGAGATTTTGGGTGGCTAACTTGAGCTTTTCATCGATAGGACCGCCTTCCACGATGAGTACTTTCTTTGTGTTGTCCATTTGATTGTAATAATTCACGATGTTCTTCGTTTTATGCGTTGGCAATGACAAATCATCGAACACCAGGAGCTGCATAGTTTTCCCAAAACATTCAGCGGATACAATTAGACTGGCATATAAATCAAGAGTTATGGGTTGAGAAGAGAAAGAAGCTGACTTTTCCTTCTGCGGCTCGAGCTGTCAGTGCTATCTTGAGCCCAAGCCGTCGAACCTGCTTGTTCATCTTTATGGCATGGCTTCTCGGTTTGGGCCCATGCATTACACATCCTCCTCGGAACTAACGGTTTTCAATAAAAAAAATTCCATCAGAAAAACTGTTTGGTGACAAGAAAGAAAGCTTCAAATCCAGAAAATGATTATACCTGAGGGCCACGCAGTGTACCGTGCCGAGCTCGACCTGTACCCTTCTGGTTCCATGGCTTTCTACCAGTTCCACTAACCTCACTTAGTGTTTTGGTCGAATGAGTTCCCTGAACATTCCACCAAATGCATCGTCAGACTTATATGACTAAAGAAGGGAATGTGAGATGATGATTGACAAGTTACCTGCTGGCGTTTCGCAAGCTGCCATCTCACGACATTGTGGATAATATCTTTCCTTATTGGAACATCAAAGACATCACCTGCTAACACCATGAAACCCTTGTCTTCGTTCTGGAAATTTGTCACCGGAATAACCAAGTCTTGATATTGTCCTACATGAGTATCAATACCGATCAGTGAAAACTTGACCAGGAGTTAGGAAAAAAAAAAACATAATTGTTCAGAGATTTGAACATATAATCTCAAGCTAAATCACAAGAAGAGAGAACATACAGACCCGAAACACTGGCGATCAAATATGTGTTAAACTTTTCATGTAATAAGCTAAGCAAGGCCCTAGAAATCTATTACCCCTCCTGAAAAAACAGCCAGTTTTCTAACACCACTACTCACTCTCTATTTACCCAACCAAACTCCAAGATTTCCAAAAGGTACAAGAAGCTCAGGAAACAAAATGAAAGATACCAGGATCCGAAATTCCCCGGAACCAGTTTGTAGCCAAACATATACATATATATATATATATAGCCTAGTTCGAAGAATGTCACTTCATACCTAGGGTTCGTTCTGGTGAAATCAGAGTCTTTTTGGTAAGCAAGTCATAAGGAAATGCATCGCCACTTGAGTCTGGAGTCAAAATAGAAGTGGAGAGCTTCCGGTTGGAAAGCAAAGCCATTCCACACTGCAAAATCAACATCTCAGAGTAGTGAAATACTCAGAAAAGAAAGATGACAAGTCAAGTAGAAAGTGGAAATCGAAAACACCAACCTTTAGATCACTAGAAAGAGAAGATAAACCATTTGCAGCGAAATCTGTTGGAAACAAATTCACACTTGTAACACCCTATTTGTAAAACATGGAAACAAAAAAAAAAGTTAAGAAATTGAGTAAATACTTGGTGAAATGTTGCGTCCTAAAGCGGTCAAGGATCCAAAAGAGCGAATAATACTTCTCGAGATTGAGGCAGCCATTTCCTTTGATTTAGTTCAAGATAAGTTGATGCCGACCGAAGAAACCTATCTGACAAGATCACATTATGTGATCGCATTCATATATCAGTATATCACAGTTCACATATCAGTATATCACAATTCAATTCACAAACAAATAAAACATATGAACAGGACCTACATGAATTCAGTTTGTGAATCAGTCTAACTGAGCTTAAAACAAACGGACTATCAGTTCTATGGCAACACTAGCTGATACATAATCATTTGAGAGCAAGTAATTCCTAGTCCACAAGACAAAGAAGAAACAATCATAAGACAACTATGTGAAACAACGCTAATGGGAAACCAATCAATCAATTGATTACAAGCACACGTTGGCATTTTTCCTGTACACCGTAGCACAACAAAAAAAGACATAAACTTAAGAAGCTAGGCTCAGAAAACATTTCCATTGCAAAGACTAGACGATACAGAATCTAACTATCTAATCCAAATGGATATGAGAATCAACACACGCTACGATACAGTGTGAATCCTCCACGAAAAACCTTCATATTCCAAACTATCAAAACAGTGAATCCTCAAAGAGTGCAAACCAAAATCGAGTGTGAACGTTGCAGGAAGAGAAGTATAAAGCCTAGTGTTTTTACTAAATCACTAAATCTCAAGAACGCATGAAGAAACTGAAATCACCTGAAGTGTTCTTGTGGAAAATTCGAAGAAGAGCAAGCTCCACCTCCACCTTCAAAGCATTCAACTGAGTTGATAGATCCGCTCCACCTCAGCTCATGAACAATACACGAAACACAATCACATGAGCCAATCAGAAAACGCACAAAACTAGAGAGAAATCAAACACAATCACATGAGCTAATCCGCAAATCCAATGAAACCCATTTCAACAAAACTGCAAATCCAATGAAACCCATTTCAAACTCACTTGATTGCCGTTGCCGAGCTTCACCGAGAAGAGAGAAGATCTGTAGAATCGACGGTGGTGGATTAAAAGAGCTCGACGGTGGTGGATTAAGAGAGAAGAGCTTCACCGAGTGAAGACGGTGAAGAGATGAGATAGAAAATCAGATTCACCGTCGAAGTTGAGGCGGTGGAAACTGGAAACGAGGAAGAAAGTCAGACAGAAACTTCATAGGTTCATAGTATCGAAACGACGTCGTTTAGGCATAGAAAATCAACAAAAAAATAAATAACGGGCCACCCGAAATGATATATGGGTCTATAAACCGGTACAGACATACCGGTTGTAGAATAGCCTAGTCTATAACCAAACGGCTCAAGAACCATTGAGAGTGAAATCAGCTTCCTCCTAGCTCGGCTTGTACCGAAGTTGATAAGCATTTCGGTCACACCCGAAATAGGATGAGGCTATCGCCTCGGTGAGCATGTCCATGCGAGGATGGCAACAAAAACAAGTGGCTCGTCTCGAGAAACGCAAATCAAATGAGCCGCATAAATAGATTTCTGTACAACAAGAAGAAAGGTGATACGAGCTTTATAATGAGTAAATGGGTTTTAAAAACCGCGTTTGGCAAAAGGAAGACTCTGAATTTTCATTATTTTCTTCTTTGTTGCAAGATTTTTATGTCTCTTTAATGTGGAGAGGTTAGTTAAATCCTATGAAAGAGACCATGAATGCTAAATTCAAAGTGTAAGCATGTAACATTGTAACGGTTCATAATTATCACACTTTCACCATTTCTTCTTTCGCTGGTAGTTGAGATAAGTTACTGGTGGTGTCTCATTGGTGTCAAACTAGTCTTAGGCAGGTCTTGCACGCACATTTATTTCTCTACGTGAGCAAGTAGTGTTCTTCTATTTTGGAAGTTATTTAGTATTAATTCTACGTTTGTATTCTGTCTTGTTAAGACTGTACTATGGAACAATATCCCCTCTTTACAGCACTGAAGAATGAAGACCATCTTCGTGATTATCTGTATACACACATTGGCACCAAGATATATGTTTTGAATTCAAAAATGTAAAATTGTTTATTTGGTCAAAGAGTAGTGAAATTCCTAGAAACATACATTAGAAAAAGCGTCTATCACATATGAGTTTAACGTAAGCTTTAACAGAAACAAAAAAACATCAATATAAGAAACAAAAATAAAACTAAAGAGAAAATTGTGTTTTGAACAGCGAAAAAAAAAGTCTACCCCAAATGCTCTCCTCAAACTGAGGTTGGCACAGAAGCTAAAGTGCCTTTGTCTTCTGCTTCGAAAACTCTGCTTTTTGCCTGAGCAAAGTTTACACGTTTTAAGTCACCTAACTTAGAAACCGAAGAAGCCGAGCTCACTAGCTTTTTCCTTCTCAAAGGTCTCGAAATATTGGTATATGATTGTGACAGCCAAAAGGATTCCAGTCCCTGACCCAATCGCTCCCATGAAATCAGCCAACACGGTGAGTGCACCGATACACACTCCTCCGAAAGCTGCTGCTGTTGGGATATACCTGTTCAGCTCCTTCTGTAAGTTTGACTCTCTGTGTCCCGGCATCACCATTTGTTGTTCCTGTTACGCATCAAGAGTTTTTCAATGTCAAAGATCCAAAACACCAAATAAGAATTCAGGTTATGTATATCGAGCTGTTATGATTTTCATACCTTGAGCTGCTTAGCTACATCCCTAGCCGAAGATCCGGAGACTTCAATCCATGTCTTTGAGAAAAGAGCACATGCAGTGAGCATGAAGACGATGTAGAACAAAGCATGGAACGGGTGAGCTGCCATATCCGAGAAGCTGCAACCATATATTCATCGAATCAGTTGATGATGCATACCAATTAGAACGAATAATATTGAAAGACGTTGCATTACCTTGCTGGAGCTGTGATGAGGTAAGCCAAACCACTAACTGGAATAGATTGTCCACTGTACTCAGACTCTTTCCACTGCCCCAAAAGGTTTACAAAGAAATTTCCGCTGAACTTCCTGTAGAGAAGCTGTTGAACAAAAGAAGATCCAATGTCAACATTATGTGACTGTGGAGTCCAGACCCGTAGAGTGAAGTTGAAACAATTATGTCAGTACCTGAGAGATGAAGTAAAGATTTGAGACGAGAGCAGATTGGAGGATGATGGGCATGTTAGAGGTGTAGAACAGCTTGATTGGGTAAGAACCCTGTTGTCCACGAGCATTCTTTGATCTCACAGGCAAAACCACACGGAAACCTTGGAAGTAGATCACAATCAGGAAGATCAAGACTGTGGCAAGCAAGTTGGTAACATTTGGAAGGTTCTGCCGGTAGAATGCTTGCCGGAGAGCCGCCACCTTGTTGGACTTTGTTATCAGCATATGGAACAATGCGATAACAGCACCTTCAAACTCAGCTCCACGTCCGGTGTTGATGGTGGTTGGGCTAAATGCCTTCCAGATAATGCTCTCACTGCGAATCATCATCAATTTAAAACACTAAGAATCTCGTTTACACATAACGAAAAAAGAATGGATTTACGAAGGAAGAACTTGACCTACCAGATGTTGGTGGCAATGAAAAGGGAAATCCCTGAGCCGAGACCGTATCCCTTCTGAAGGAGCTCATCAAGGCAGATAACAATGATTCCGGCAAAGAAAAGCTGGAGGATGATCAGAATGGCATTTCCAACACCGAGTTGTCCAACGGGGCCATACATTCCAGAAAGAACATATGCCACAGCCTCACCGATGGCAATCAGAATACCAAGAAGCTTCTGAGCACCATTCCTACAAAATGAATACAAACACAGAATAAGAACTCACATGATGACAGCTCAATCAAATCCAGATATAGTCAAAAATAGTAAGGAACTCTAAACAGAACGAAATAAAAGCACTTACAAGAGGGCACGATCCTCACGGACATTGTTGTCGACCTCAATGATCTTTGAACCAGCCAAGAGTTGCATGACGAGTCCAGACGTGACAATGGGAGTAATACCCAGCTCCATCACAGTCCCACGGTTCGACGCGAGAATGACACGCATCCAGTAGAATGGATCCGCACCGGTCGTAGAGTGAATTCCATAGAGAGGAAGCTGACTGCAGACGAGAAAGATGAAGAGAGAGATGACAGTGTAGATGACCTTCTCTCTGAATGGCACCTTCCTGTCAGCACTCTGAACCTCCGGCAGAAAAGCCAAGAACGGCCTCACCAAATGCAGAACTCGAAATCCTCCTCCCATTCTAGTACCGATTGATCAAGTTTTACCAGATTCTGTACAAAATAAGAAATTACTTTCAAGTGAGCTTCTCAAACACAGAAAATCAGAACACAGAAACGCATGCACCAAATTTATAAACTTCATGCAAAATTCAAAAGTATATCATCCATTTGAACCAACACCCAATCACATCTTAACAATTTATTCAAGGAACTTCCTTCAACAAAAAAAGTATCTATCTCCTCAACATTACAATAAATAACAATTTCTTAAGCTACTATAAGAAAAGAGTAACAGAGTCGATCTAAAAACCAGATCTATCAGAACACCTCCCGATCTACACCGTATATATAGAGAAATTCGATACAGATCGGTGACTAGAGCTCGAGAAACAGATCTAAAAACATAGATCAATCAATAATCACACAGATCTGAGCCATTTCCAGCCCAATTTTTGTTTTCTAGAGGAAAAATAGCAAGATGCGAAGGACTCACGAATCACGATGGAGAAAGAGAACATTCAGGTGAAAGCAATCAGAGAATGGAAGAGATTAAAAAGGAGAGAAGCGAGAGAGCTCTTACGATCTATGTAGAGAGAGAGAGATATAGACCGATCAGCTCGGAAACCGACGGCTTCGATAAGTTTCTTCCCCTTCACACGGAGAAAGAGCGTTGTAGTTTTGATGGTCAACGAAAGACGAAGGTCACCTTATACACTCCATTAGATTTTTTATTTTATTTTCTGGGTTATTGCTAAATCGTGGCGATGCGAGATAAAAATGCTCGACACGATAGTATAACGAATCATTGTATGCCACATAAGCTTTACGTTTTCGACCCCAGATTGGGCCGAGTTTTTGTTTTCTGACGCTGTTAGATGGGCTTTAGATTTTTGTGTTGTTGGGCCAAGTATGTTCTTTTTGTTGGTGAATCACTGAATCTAAACAACAACCGTAACTAAACGAAAACTTAACTTTTGCATGAAAGAAAGTGTAAAAGTAAAGAAAGATGTCATATAATTTAGTTTACATATCTTGTTCATCTTTGTTTTATTAATCACTTCCTTTTTACTAGAAAAACGAGGAAGTTGAATAAATTAAATCATAATTTTGTTTTGGGCAAGTTAAACTTTGTGAAAATCAGAAAACAAGAATATCCTACTTTTCACTCATTATCAATATTTTTGGTTGTTATACAAAAAATTACCATAATAGCAGAATTTGTTGACAAACAAGCAGACTAGAAGAGCATAATTTTGTCTTATTAAGGAAATGGGAAAGAAGCAGATTTCAGATACATTTCGTGGAACATAGATGTTCTCAAAGAACACCATATGCAATTGACTTTTTTGCTAGATAGAGCACGGATCAAACACTACTCTTTCGTTTAATGTTAAAAAAGTAATGGATAAGTAGTTGACCAAAAATATGAACGTATAAAGTCAACCTCAATCCAGAAAAAAAACTCCGGCTCAATAACCTTTTTTGTTTTGCTGTCATTTGGTAAATAGATCTTATATTCTCCGTAACAAAACACAAACGTAACGTGAATTGATTCCCTACAAATTATTTTAGTAGTTTACGTGTTATTCCACATTGGACCTTGCATATTAATTTTTTACATGTATGATATACAACTACACTTCTCTAACTTACTTGCGGTCCGGACCATTGGTTCTTGGAGTTTATTGCTGAAATGCAATAACAACGATCTTTTAACAAGAAAAACACAGAAGGAGAGAGATTTAACGGCCACCACCAGAATGTCCAACACCGGGGCTAGGAGCGGATATCAGAAACCGATCAACAGGGAAGTGGCCCTTTTTTCTCGCCTTCAAGTGTGATTTGGTCACGTGAGTCACATGGCTTTTCTCCTCCTCTGGATCTCTCACTCTCTCCGTGAACAACATTTCATGTTTCTTTGTCTCTAAAAGCTTTCTTGATGTGACCAGCGATGGAGAAACTGAGAAGACGGAAGCGGCCGGGAGGACTAGAAAAAGGCAAATGATCATTAGACGAGCCATTAAGTTTGGGTTATGTTCGTGAAGCTTGAGATAAAATTTTGTAGCTATGAGAGAAATGGTTCCTTGAATGGGTGTATATATAAATGAAGCTAGGGTCGCTTTAGTTACAATCTTTGAATGTTGATGAAGTGATAAATCATGCGTTGAAATTAAATTACTGTAGTTGTGTGCTCTTTTGGTTAGTGAAGTAAAAGTTTTGACCAGTGTCCATAGTTTCATAAGTGTACTAGAAGACCTTCTCAAGTGCAGATTACGAGTTCAGATTTCAATGTTAAATATTGGACTAAATTTATCTGATAGTATGATTTCCTGGTAAAGAAATTAAGTTTTTAGATTATCCAAACAAAGTCTGAACGTGAGACATTATCAAAAAAAAAAGTCTGAACGTGAGACTATTATTGTATAGTATGCTTATTTAAGAAGAATAGTATTTGGCTTTATTTTGACTATGTGAATGTAATTAATGTGCCTCTTCAATTTTAAACCTACAACTTTGCCACACTTTCTTAAAATCCGTCCATTGAAATATTATGTATAAGAAAATGAGAAATCTACAGTACAGTATGATTAGAAAATTGAGAAGCTCTACCTTAGAGATAACACTACACACCAGCAAAGAAATAGTATTCTCAAGATAACACTATACATAAGTATTCTCAAATACATAAGGCTCTCAAGTTCTTCTCTATAGTTAGTACTCGGCTTCTACGAGGTAGAGATCCAAGAACTAGTGTTCCCTTCGACTCAAAACTAAAATCTGTTATGATTATTATTTTTTTGATAAAGAAGTTGTATAAAACATTGGTGCAAAAGAATTACCGGACAAATCTCCTATGGCAGAGTCATCACATACATATATATAGGCCTCATGCATATGTATGCAAAAATGAAGTAATAGATTCCTGCCAAAAGAGATCTTGCCCTGCAATGCGTTTGCACTTTCTCTATATATATCTTTTAGCTCTCTAGCTACTAAAAACAATTGTGTGTATTGTGTTTATATATAACATTGTAATAAGCATATTCAGTGGCACTATCCTTCCGATCTAGAATAAAATCTCTCCTACGCACGTATAATTAATCTCTTAAGGTATAATCCTTTATGCCCCCGATATTTGACCGTAGTCTTTATTCGAGTCTCCACAGAGTTTTGTTCTACTTTACTTGAGTATTATAACTTCATAATATTCAACTACAGTCCAAAATCTTTTAAATTCTACACCAACGGAATACACATATTTAAGAAACGAGTCTCATGGTGTAATGGAAATGTAAACAACCATTTTGTATAAATTGTTAATGAAGAAACTTCTCAAGCGAGTATTATACTATATATTATCAGAAAATGGTCTCAAGTGATTATATTTGAAGTGTTTTTTGACCAAAGACTTTCATAATTTTATTTGAAGTATTTTAATTAAAAATATATGTTTGCGTTACTATATTTTGGTTTGGGGGAGAAAAGTTTGGGTGGTATACTGTGATTAAAATCCTCTTAGCTATTGGCTACTAATTAGATAACTAAGATGGTTAAGTCTAGAAATAATCTTTTGACTTGCTAAAAAGTTTGTCAAGGACAACTTCTACAGCATACAAATTAATACTTTTAACAAATGAGTAACAATAAACTGATTCGTTAGAAATAGGAGATCTATGGTATTGTCCTCTCAAGCTTTTTATTTTGAAAAAATCACAAACTTTTGCTTCTTTACTTTTTTTTCTAGTGTTAAAATATTGTATAAAAATTGTATTCCTTTAGACATATAGTTTAAAAAAAAAAAATCTTATAGTAGCTAGATATTGGAGAAATGAATAACAGTAGAGAAGAATTGCAAGGCAAATCTCCTTTGGCAGAGCAACACGATGAGACAATACATATATATGAGTCATCAGTTTCCCCTGCCAATAGAGGATTCGCCCTGTAATGCTTTCTACCATATATATAATACTCTCCTTTTTGCTTTCTCACTTGATTGCTTCAAATGAAAAATCTCAAACTATGTAACGCATTTATAAACCTTGATGTAAAAGCATATACTATGGAACAATACCTATAAAAAACTTGAATCACGAAAACTTGGTATAGAATTTACAAGCAGTACTGAAAAAAAAGCGTGGAAAGTCAGTAAAAGTGAAATCCGGAATCAGAAGAATGAGGACCGCGTGAACGGGTCTTTAGGATTATACTATACACATATGCTCTAGCCTCTATGAAACTTGGGATCTACCTCAGAATATGCTTTTCTACATGCATTCACTAGATATAGAAACACTTTCATCAACTATATAATGTATACTTTGCTAGTCCAAGTTACAATAACTCAAGATGTAAATATGAAAGATTAAGAATATATTAAAATAGTATTGAAGATGAATGTTTGTGAAGAAAGAGAGATAATGTATGGTTGGATTACTGGGCGAATACACCTATGGCAGATGGCTTTCGCCTTGCTTGAGATGCAAGCAAAAATGCTTCTCTGCCAAAGGAGATTTGCCCCGCAATTCTTTCCATGCAAAACAACCCATCTTTCTGTTATCTCTACGCAAGTTATGTTTATTTCCAATTTCTTGGTTATATCAGGTTGTACGGATCGAGTCCTAGATCAATCTTTTGGGATCTAAAACTATTTATGCGAGGTCTCTTCTGTATATACGTTGGTGAGCGTCTCTCAAAACAAGGCATTAGCCTCAACGTTTGCAGGTTTTGTTTCGTTTAATTATTTTCTTGCTGTTGCTAATCACGTTTTTCGCGCGTAACTAACTATTCTTGACACATAATTTTATATTTATTCTGATACTATAATGTTTTTATTTTGTCCCTCTATTGAAATCTGAATTCATCTAAAAATTTGGATTCTATCTTCTTCCTTTTAATAGAGACACTAGAGTCATAATCGAATGATAAAATTACCAACATGTGATATATTCTATACATACTCAATTGTTTTGGTAGTAACTTGTAATCTTTTTGAAAAACCAATGAAGAACAATGATAGTAAGCAGAAAAACCATAAAGATGCAGCAAGATTGTCCTCTTCCACGCCTTCTTCTCTCATCCAATGTAATCTCCCTCTCTTCGCCACACTCCTCTGTTAACCTCACTGTCACATTCTTTGCCGTGCAACCGCAGATCTCACAAACACTGCCAAGAATATACAAACAGAGCAACTCTGTAACGAATTTGAATCTTGTAGCTAATAACACTATCAAGGCATTGAATCATTACCTGTTTCCTCTTAGCTTGAACCAAGCTTCAGCGCAATGTAAATGTGCCAGGCCAAGTTCGTTTTTACACGCGCAACCAATCTCAACCAAGTCCGGACTCACTGGCTTACCACAAGAAACTCTATCCGGTGTTTGATCAGAACCGAAATGACAAATTCTGCAGATTCTTTGCTCTTCACTCTCTTCTCCACCACCACTCATATCAACCATGTGAAACTCCTTCTTCTCCTTCGCTTTTGCTGAAGTATCACTCTCTGCCTCCTTATCCTCAACTTCCTCGTGAACAGCGCCAATTGAAATGTTACTGCATCTAACACCATCTTTGGCCATTCTTGGATCATTCTTGTGAACATCTTTTTCTTCTCCTTGTTCTTTAGTTAACTCATGTCTTGAGACAGAGGCACTGGTTTCACCAGCTACAATCACAGCATTATCACCAACACTGTTCGATTTCGAACCACTTTTCGGGTCCATTTGGTTCGTTTGAAAATTGCTCAAACTCCTACAAAATCCAAGATCCATAACCTCTTAGTATGATTTTATCACACAGAGAGCAAAAAGAAACAACATTTTGCAAAACTGAAAAACCCTGTAATAGCTCAAAGTTATGATTTTTATTTCACCAACATCTTTTTATCTTCAATGATTGATCCAAGCAACCCTAAAACTCGAATAAATGGTGAACAAAGTGGTAAGGACAAAAATCAAAGCTTACCCAGAATCCAGATCCACTTTAATGACAAGTGAGAGCACAGCTCTTGCGGAAAAAGCGACGAACTTTAAGCTCAGAGAGAATCTGTGAGGAACAAAATCTCAATAAGGTTACTTTTAACAGCTTTATGTCTCCGATCTTTAAGCAACTGAAGAAAATTATTAGCAAATTGCATCAAATCAAACGGATGCTCGTCGCTTCAGTTACCTGCAAATGCCCGAATCTGCTCTCGATTGCAATTTCTCTTACACCGACCTTACGTTTTCGATTTGTCTTTCTGTAAAACTCTCTGCTTCCAGTTTTAGGCAGTAAAACCAAAACCCATTTTAGATTTTTGTGGAGTTAATGAAATTTCGTTTTTTCTTCAATAAGGTTAGGGAAGGAGCTAAATGAAGAGAGTTTGGTGAAGATGAGAGAACAACTATAGTAATAGTATTGTGCTAATAGAAATTGGGTTATATTTTTAGCTTATATTTTTGTTAAAAGATTTCAATCTCTTAGTCTTCATTTTTTTTCTTTAAAAAAACTATTTAGTATAAAAATAGCTTACATTTATAAATGTTTGCATTGCAATATCCCTTTATCTACATTCTAAAAAGCAAAAACCAATCTCATAATTCATGAATGAACCAGAAAAATTGTAATAAAAAGCAATCTTTTTGTCATCATTCATCAGGCTCTAACATGTTGCTACCCAACCCAGATTAGATTCTTAGAACAAAGTTTACGGAGTAAGTGAGACTGATACTGAAATGATCCAAAATATGATCATTTATGTTGATCTTTTCATTAGATAAAAAATAATGATTCAAATAGATTAAATAAATTAATATTGGGTGATGCTTAAGTCACACACAAATCACAATTCTGAGTCCCCAAATAACCAAAAGTAAAAAACTTATGAAGGAGGGAAGAAACGGTTGAGGTTAAAAGGGAGAGTGTAAAATTCCTCATTTCTGCTATCTCCTTTGAAAGTTCTAAACTTAGCCCACCAAGGCAATCCTCTGTCTTTGGCACTATCTTTATAATCCAAAGTATTGTCCAAGAACACTGCGACCATCAGCGCAACCATCGGTGAAGACAAGAAGATTGTGTTCAAGAAATCATTGAACCAACCAGCATTGGTGTGAGCTGGACCGTGCAATGCCTTGATGCTGAAGTCTCTGAAGTACTCTGGAATCGATAGTCCTAAGAAGAGAGACACACCCGTGATGAAGAGATTTCTCAGGGAGTTCATGTTTGTGAATTGCAGAAATGATAGCCCAACAGAAGCTGTAAGTAACAACACAAAGAAAAGGTTTTGTTAGATCAAAAGTTCAAATGATTCTTAAAGATCTGGTGATAGTAGTAGTAGTAGTAGTACTGACCAACAAGACCGAACAAGACGCAGTACACGGCTGCAAATATAGTGAAAGGTATTGAAGCAAACAATGCACCAAATTTGCCTGCACAAAGATAACAAAAACTCTTTTTAAGAAAATAATCTCAAGAAAAAGCTAGCTTAAGCTTGTTTTGTGGAGATGTGGATTGTGACCTAGCATTGAGAAGAATATCATGAATCCTGCTGAGATTTGAATAACTCTGCGGCTTCCCACTCTGGTGCTTCCTAGTAATCCAATGTTCTCTCTGCAGAAATTGTGCAAGAATGAGACATAAATTGGTCCTACTAATTAGAGAAGTATAGTTTGACATCACTTCTACTTACACAGAGACACTTGAACCGCTTAGGGTTCCAAATAAACCGTTTAAGAGGATTCCAATGCCTTGCCAGCCGATTCCGCGGCTAAGAACATGAGGCGGAGGAGGCGTGGCGCTCGCTAGTCTTGCAGCAGCCTTGAAAGATCCAGTTGACTAAATCACATTCACAAAGATTCTTCTTTTAGGACATTCACACATTCAAAAGGACTCTTCTTGTTCTTAGAATAGAGTTAATCTTGATTACCTCAATGAGTGAGACCAGAACAGCGGCCATCATTGCAAAAGCATGACCAGCATCAAAGCTAGGAGCTCCCCATTGAAGTGGATAAGGAATCTTGATCCTGTTATAAACTCAAAGGAAGCTTAATAAACACTATGATCAAATCTAAGAAATGTTAGAAACAGAGAAAGAAACTAACCAAGGAGCAGATGAAATGAGGTTAGACATGTCGGTTCTACAGTTTACTTGCGTCTGTTGTGGTCGGTGTTTGTAAGCACCACTCGCTGTCAAGACATGAGCGTAAGCCCACACAATGACTATCGCTATAAGCATAGCGAATCTCTCCACTACTTGGAATTGCCTGAACTGAATCCCCTTCAGATACTACAAACAAGAAACATTTCATAAACACCAAATATCAGTCAAGAAACATACATAGCTGGATTTGTATTGGTATGAAAGATATATAACCTGAGAGAAGATGACAAAGAGGATAAGCATTGGGATTCCTATCTCAACACAATTTCCCACCTGCAAACCAAAAAACACTCTCAAAACAAGAACCAAAAAAGGTTTAAACTTTCCAAATCTGAAATCTGAAGTAAAGTACCACTGGGAATCCTCTGTTGAAGAGTCCAAAACCAGTTAATGCAATAACAGGAACCATACCAACAGGACTAAAGAATCTGCAAAGTAAGATGAAGAAAATCAATAAAGTCTATACCTTTATATGATATCAAGAAACCATAGAAATGTATATACCTTGAACAGATAGCCCACATCTGGCTGAAGCCGAGGATGATTTGAACGCTGGATGCAACGATGATTGCGCCTTGTACAGCTCTCATCGTACTTAGAAATCTCTGTTTTCATTTGCAGATTTAGTATCAAAGATGTTCAGTAACAGTAGAGAAGGAGCAAAAGAAACATACCAAGTGTGGATCATCAATACGGGTTAAAGAAGAGTCACGGATGATTGAAATGATGGGAACCATGAATGCGTAAGAGCCTCCGATCACAGTTGGGAGACGAGTTCCAAATAACGTTTGAAGAAGAGTGTTGACGCCTTGAATGAAGAGTAGTGTCTGAACAACTCTCACTTTATCACCCTAATCATCATTTTTCACATCATTATCAATCAGAAACACACAGAGAGAGATTTCTTGGGATTAAGAAACAAAAAAAGAAAGAAGTAAATGCTCACATCATCTCCACCCATCATAGGAACAAGAAATGAAGGGATCATCACTGCAGTTCCTAAAGCAAGAATGTAATGCTCAAAGCCTAAAGCTATGGCTTCTCCTGCAATTAACATCATCATCATCATCATCAGATAGAAACTCAAAAAGATCCAATCTTTCAAATTACAGTACAGAGAAGGGTTTTGGGAGGATCGTACCCCATGGAGGGTTTGAGTCAATACAGTACTCTAAGCCCTGAAGCTGATCCATTGGTGGGTGGCTTATCTCCTCTGGCTTTACAGGATCCATGGTTTTAGAGTAGTGATCTGTTCTAAAGTCCTTTTCTTTCTTTCTGGGTCACAACAATCTGGATGTGTTCACTAACTTAAGGAGCTCATGAATCAGCTAAGAATCAGGATAACCAAAAGGATCTGAGGAATGACTGAGAAAACAAGAGAATGAGTTAAAGTGAGACAAGGCAAATTGAAAAAGCTTCTCTTTTTCGAAGTTGGAGCTGAGTTAGAAGAGAGCTTTTTGGGTTAGTGGTGGAAATGGTGATTTAGCTTATGGATTTTTTTATATGAATAGTGTGAGGGGTTGAAGAGAAAAGGACCGTTGAAAATTTATTTACCGGAAATGCCCCTTAAGGAACTGCCAAAACAGAATGCTACCGTTACACTGTTGGTTTGGTAAATTATGTTTTGTTTTTTCAACTTTACACATCAGAGAGTCACAGACTCTTTTAATGCGTTAGTTATGTTTCTGACTTTTTTGCACTGAATCTCTTTCTCTTCTCTTCATTCAAGCGTCTCTCTTTAATTAATCACAGTTGTTCAATAATCAAGACTCAAGACTAGTGTTTAGAATCTGTATTTATTAATGTTCACAAATTCTTTCTCGCTTCAGTTTTCAACCTTTTTTTTTTTTTTGTCAAAAGAGTGTTTTCAGTTTTAACGTCTCATATTCCTTTTAGTACTTCATTTTTTAATATATACTACAGTACGTTTTTAAGAAAATATAAGCTAAAAAAATGTAATTATTTTTTATTTAATATTGTAATATAAGTTGGCAAATGAAATTCTTGTTTATACAGAACATTAGTATGACTCTTTTTGATTAAGAAGATTTGACCATGATGAAAGCAAAGGGTAAAAGAAACGTTATGATTGTGTGAATTGTGAAAGTGAAGTATTTTTTCATTTTTTTGTTTCAGAAAAAGAAACTGAAGTGTTTTCGAAAAAGAAAATTGAACCAACCACTTTACCATCTCTTTTGCTTTAATTTCTTTCTTTCTCACTTTGAACCTTTTTTATATAAAAAAATTTGTCTTAGGTTCTGAATAATAATAAGATGGAGCCATGGGATGGGTCCAAGTCAGTCAATATAATCTGACTGGGGACACCCACGTGCGTCCCAAGAAGGACCAAAATGGGTCATTTTGATTATGGACACAAAACATAAACAATACAAAACTCACAATGCTTTGCTTTCTTTGTTTCCAGCCAACAAGAACCCTCATGTCTGCCTCTTTCATCTGTTGACTCTTGACTGCTATAAGGATTTTGACTTGCTCATGTCCTGCTCTCAGTAGAGGTAGTCTGTCTCTCGCGCCTCCATTGTTGCCTGTGTGATTCAATATTAGCACAATGCTTGATTCATTCAAAGCCTTATAATTGTTTATGATGAAGTAAACAAAGGTTCGGCTATCTGTACAAATATACGAAAAACCGAAAGAATCAGGCTTTGAAATTAGGGCAATTATAAAGACTTGTCATTCACTCTAAGTGGTCCAAGTTTTGTTTTGTTTTTTGTTTTAACAAATGAGACAAAGAAAATGGGGACTTACGAGAAAGCTGTCTATCCAGAATCAGCAATGACATCTGACTGAATAGCCTGCATTATACCCAGAATCTGATTGTATTACCGATACGTATTGTTATCATGATCATGTTCACTGGAAATTTGATACGTATGAAGTTCTGGTGGAAATTATCAAATTTTACATAAGAAGATATTGCAGTAACGTACTCTTATTATTATCACACATAACAAAATAAATCATCATGACAAGTTATCCTATTCTATGATAAGTTAGACAAATGATTTTAATTTGCATGTGGTTGAATGCATGTTATGTAATGTACATGGAGTGGCATATTTGGTATTCATTGGGTCATGCTAAGTTTATTGCAATCTCTAATCAGACTCGGATACAGATCATTGTGTTTGTGCAGTGACTCAAACAACTCCTTGACCTGCTCTTATAGAAAGATATAATTCTTGACCAACAATAAAAACACCCTCTCTTTTTTTTGGCTTCTTACATGTTCACTAGTTATGAATTTTGAACAATTCAGTTAATTCTATTAGATGATTTATTTTATTTATTTACGTAATACAAAAAAAAAGCATTATCCAAACAAATGTAGACATCGTAACGTGGTCTTCACTCTTCACATCGATCTTATGTTCTTCTGTCATGAGTGTTACTGTCCTTATTAGTTTATGTATTTTCTTATTACAATCCTATATAACCAAATCTACGAACAGGATAAACCTCAGTCGTGCTTGCATTTTAGGCTTTTCGCATAAGCTTTTCTCTGGAAATATTTAAAGGTAGAATTTTTCCCTTTCCCATCCAAAAGGCCTTATTATATACTAGTGAACAAATAACTGAATAAACTGAGTTTTTGTTTTTGTTTAATCAAAAGAACATGGGATTTGGCTAGTGGTTGAATATAGGTAAACAGATAATATTAGCATATAAGAAGGCACTAGTTCGATTCTATTGGAAGAGATAATCTATCGGAAGTTGATACTAGCTCCAGAACTTCTAGATAAACAGAAAAAAGTATAACATGAGATATTCTCCTAAAGATGCATTAAGAAGATAAACGTTTTGGTATAAGTGTTGGTAATTAGCCTATGGGAATTGGGAAGTACTAAACTGATCATTCTACTAACTATTGAGCACGAAGACTTAGTAATTCAACTCATTCACATCATGACTATCGGTTTGAAGGATAATCACTTTTAAACAATCGATCTAAGTAGTACATAAACTTTGGTTTCATAAAAACATGAATCACTTACAATTTCAAACCAATGGTGTATACTAGTACGAACTAAAAACCCAACAATTATATTCATGATCTTCCATAAGGAAATTAGAGCTCGTTGGAAGTCTCAAACTGTCCTGGAATTGCACACTCTTTGTCTCCTCCTCTTTGATCTCTATCACATTTTGGTAACTCTTGTGCTCTTTAATTATCTCATAAGCATCCTTACTCCTCATATTCTTCATACGGAAGAAGTCACAGCCGCATAAGATACACACGTGAAGAAGCATTTCACCTTGAAAACCGGACAAGTCATTTCCGTTTGACAGCGGCATTTGTAATTTGCTGGCCTGGTACCAGAAATAGGGATGTTGTTATTGATAACCTGTTCACAAAAAAGAAATTGTCATTGTGAAAACATGATAATCAAGGATAAATGAGTGAGTGAAAATATGATAATTAAGGATAAATGAATGAAAACATGACAAATGTTCACCTCGGAGCATCCAAACGCTATCATATCAGTCTCCCGTGTAGACAAGATCAAAGCGTAATAATGGTACTATCAAAACCCATTATGATCATTCTACCAACTATTGAGTAGGAAGACTAAGTAATTCAACTCATTCACATCATGACTATCGGGAAGGATATTAACTTTGGTTTCATAAAAACATGAATCGCTTACAATTTCAAACCAATGGTGTATACTAGTACCGTTAATATACCCTAATTAATTACATCCGATAAGAGTAGACGTTGATGTTGTTGACAAAAACTTTCAAAAACACAGTTATTTAAGGGGGTTTTTTACTGCTATATATTTGTTTAAATTTCTTATTTTTTCTTCCGATGTCTTAATTATAAGCACATTGGCCTATCACCATTAGTCCGATACCATTCAAAACTATCGTCGACAATAATATCTGACCTGGATCCATCCATCCTCAGATTTTCAGAATAAAGTTGCCCACGACATAATTGCACTGAATAACAGCAAGAAATTCAAAATGAATGTAAATAATATATAGAAAACGGGGTTTAGAACTTGGATGTATGAATATGATCGCTCTTCGAAGTCTTTGTAGCTTAAAGGTTTTGGTCACCTACGTGAAGTCCACAACTTACAGTCAGCACTGACTCATAGCCATACGTTGTTCCCACAAATTCCCCTCCACATCTTCTTAAAGACTATTTTACTCACTTACCACATAAATCTAACATTGCTCATATAAAATAAATAAAATGCGTGACGACATCCCAACGAACTATGATCTGCTTATCGATCAGCCGCACTGGTGTTTATAAGTCCACCTTATTATCTGTCCCTTAAGAAATCAGATTATATAATTGTAAAGTTGACTTTGCAACTAAGTGTATTGGATAAAACCTATTACTTTAGTATATTACCCCTAAAGTACTTTGAAAAATCGTCCAACGTGTTCATCCGCTGGCAGATAAATGGAATTTGGATTAGGATAAACTTCAACATCAGTATAGGTAATGTTTTTAAAAACATTAAAATCAGATGACTTTTCAGCTTATCCAACATAAAGATAATATTTTACAACTCAACTCACAAACCACTATAAAACGAATACCAAAAGGCCAAGTTAAGACAACATTCCAAACGGACAAAACAACACTACCTTTTTTTATTTTCGTCCGTTGTTTCATTACATTCTCTTGTTTGGTTCGTTTTCCGGTAATATCTTGTCGGAATCAACAAACAAATACATTTTCAAGCAAAGAGATCAAAATAATTTTTTCAACGTTCACCGATGGCTCAAGTCCTATCATCTCCGGTGCCATTGCTGGCTATGACCAGCCCAAAGCCGCTCCAATTCATGGCGAGTCTTCTCGCACGAATCGTTACTAAAGACACGAAGAAAGTGATTACTACTCCAGAGAGCCCTAGGAGTCCAAAGACCCCACAAGCCGGCTCCATTCTCATGGACAAGTACGAGCTAGGAAAGATTCTTGGCCATGGAAGCTTCGCTAAAGTCTATTTAGCCAGGAACATAAACTCCGGCGAGAACGTTGCCATAAAAGTCATGGACAAGGAGAAGATCGTGAAAAGCGGATTGGCCGGTCACATCAAACGAGAGATCTCCATCCTCCGCCGCGTCCGGCACCCTTACATTGTCCATCTCCTCGAAGTCATGGCTACGAAAACAAAGATTTACATCGTCATGGAGTACGTACGAGGCGGAGAGCTTTACGACAAGGTGGCTAAAGGCCGCCTCCGAGAAGGAGTTGCCCGGAGATATTTCCAGCAACTGATCTCCTCCGTCGCTTTCTGCCACAGCCGCGGGGTTTACCACCGCGACCTAAAGCTTGAGAATCTGCTCCTTGACGACCAAGGTAACGTCAAAGTCTCTGACTTTGGCCTCAGCGTCGTCTCCGAGCAGCTCAGGCAAGACGGAATCTGTAAAACGTTTTGCGGGACGCCGGCTTATTTGGCGCCGGAGGTTTTGACGAGGAAAGGCTACGACGCAGCGAAAGCGGACGTGTGGTCTTGTGGAGTGATCTTGTTTGTGTTGATGGCTGGTTATCTTCCGTTTGACGACAAGAACGTATTGGTCATGTACAAGAAGATTTACAAAGGACAGTTTCGTTGCCCTAAGTGGTTCTCTCCTGAGCTCACGGAGCTCATGGCTCGGATTCTTGACACGAACCCGGAAACAAGAATCACGATCCAAGAGATCATGGAGCATGGATGGTTCAAGAACGGATTTAAAGATGTCAAGTTCTACATCGAGAACGATAAGTTATGTAGAGAGGACGATGACGACAATGATGATGATGACTCATCGTCATGGTCATCAGGGAGATCATCGACTGCTTCAGAAGGAGACGCAGACTTCGAGATGAAAAGGGTTGATTCAATGCCGAGACCCGCGAGTCTTAACGCATTCGACATCATATCTTTCTCGTCAAGTTTGGATCTTTCTGGATTGTTTGAAGAAGGAGGACATGGAGCAAGATTTGTGTCCGCTGCTCCTGTGACGAAGATCGTATCGAAGTTGGAAGAGATTGCGAAAGCTGTGAGGTTTACGGTGAGGAAGAAAGATTGGAGCGTGAGGCTTGAAGGTTGTAGAGAAGGTGCTAAAGGACCGTTGACTATTAAAGTTGAGATCTTTGAGCTGACGTCATCTCTTGTGGTGGTTGAGGTGAAGAAAAAGGGAGGGTTTATAGAAGAGTATGAAGAGTTTTGCAACAAGGAACTTAGACCGGAGCTAGAGAAACTGATGCATTACAAAGCAGATGATGTTGAAGAAGCAATATTGTGTTGAAAACAAAATGGAAGGTCGAGAGAAGAATACATAACAAGAAGAAGGTATTATATCATAGGACGAATATTTACTTTAATTTTTATTGTTCTGCGATGATGATGATGATGATGATGTATATATAGTATGAAAAGTGAGAGTTGTAATGGGAGTGATAGGAAGATCAGAGAAGAAAGTTAAGAGCCAGATAGAGAGATCTAAGGCAGTTTAGACGGTTTTTGCTGGCGACTTGTAAAGTCAGTTATTCGTTGATTGCTTATAGAAATCTATTGTAAAAGTGACGAACTTAATGGAAATTCTTTTCTTGGCCTTCCCCTAAAAGAAACTGTCTTTGTTTCATTTTATTGCTTCATCAGAAACTATATGATAAAACTGAAATGTGTACATGTTACCTGTCTTATAGTCTTAGTGGTCTCTTTATTAGTTGAAACACTTGAATATAACAGTTTAGTTTATAAAGATAGAAATATGAACAGAGCATTTTACTGAGAACAAATGTTCTTCTTATTAGCTACACATGTAAATCAATCCGAGAGATTACAGGTTAAGTGTTAAGTTTTGGTGAATGAGCAACCAGTTCCTGCAAAAGATTTTAATGAAGATCAAAGACTTGGTCAAAATAGTGTTATTGTGTTTCTTTAACTTGAGATGCTGCTAATTACCTCAGAGTAGCGTATATGATCTCTGTGCATATAAGAAGTCTTGACTATAGTTTCCCATTTGGTTACACTTGTGGAGTTTTCTTCAACATCCTTCTTTTGGGGATGATACAGATAACTCCGTGAAGGCAGATTACGGAGAAGCCAAGAATCAGAAGGCTTTTTAGGTGGTGGCGGAGCAAGTGGAGACAGATCACATCCACTAGTGTTTCTCTTTTCCAACTCCTCCATCTTCTTGATTCCACTGCTAACAGTAAGACTAGTTTCATCAGCTTCTTGAACCTCGAGAATGGCCTTTTTCGGTTTGTCCTCTGAAATTGTTTCTGGCAAACTTGAGTTACCCTGGCCGTTGCTGGTCTTGGGAGAATTAACAACATGTAATGTCTTCTCCATGAGAGAGCTTGTGGAACATACTTGTGATGATCTTGTGCTTTTTGGATAGAGTAGATCCTGAGACTTGCTGATGTTCCTGATATGCTTGTTCAATCTGTTAGCTCTCATAATCTCTGCCTCCTTACGAGTTCCGAGGAAACCTGAAGGGTGAAGAGGAGAAGAGTTTCCTACACTGCGGTACGGTGACATACAGCTAGTTTGTCTGTAAGGAGACGATGGCATACTTGCACAACTACTTTGGTTTGATTCAAATTGTTCAGCTCCAAAGTTAAACTTCTTCCCAAGGCTTGGTTTTTGCTTGTAAATTGAATCAAGAGCAAGCTGAAAACATACAAGAAGCGTATGAACATACTAGATATCTATATGATGATATAAAGAAGTGAAAAGTATGGCTTGAGAGAGATACCTTTTTCACAGATTGGAAACGAGATTTGAGTTGAGAGACTTTGCTTGACTTCACTTGATCATGGTTTGAGGTTCTTGAGGAGTATGGTTTCTCTTTAAGACCATGCACTGAGCTGAGCATACCAAGTGAGTTTTTAAAGCACACTTGTGGTGACATCATCCCACAGCCTCTCTTGGCAAGATACTCATCGTCATCATCATCATCTTCCTCGCTTTCTTCATCATCTGTGCCATGGTAATATGGTAGAGGAGTAGTGAAAGACTCATACCTCTTAGGAGTTGCAAGATTCTCCTCCGCTGGTATTATGTCTCTGATTTGCCTCACTGGACGAGACATGACATGGATTGGCTGTCTTTTCACAGCATATTGAGGTTGTTGTTGCCTCACAGTCATGGATTTGGCGGCAGGTAAGAAACGATTCATCATGTAATCTCGAGATTGGGGATGATCCTCACATGGCATTGGAGGTTTTGTTGCGTCAACAACATTGCTTCCACTTATGCTATGCTTTAAAGACAATGTATCACGAGCATCAGAGAAGACATCATCATCTTCACTTTCTTCTTCTTCTTCTTCTTCAATTGATTTCTCCAAGGGACATTTGAAAGGAACAGAGGCAGGTCTCTGAGACTGATCTAAGCCCATGTCTTGGACAAGAACAGGAACAGGAATAGATTCACTTGTCTTGGAGTTGTCGTCGTCATGATCATCATCAGTAAGCTTCTTTGCAATGTTTCTGCGTACAGAGACTGCTTCTTTCTTCATCCTCCTTGTCGAAAGAAGTGGTGCATCGAAGTTAAGTTTCCTCTCCGCCATAGAAATCATGCACAAGAACCAGCCAAAGCCGTTAAAGAAAAGGCTCAGAGATCGATGAGATCAATGTTGACTCAACACCAACATGTTTCTCATCAAAGCTTTAAATGATGTTCACAGTTTTCCAAAACAGATCTGAAAAAACCAAACATAATTAATAAGTTCATTAACTAATTAACTATAAACACTCTGACACACATGAACCAACGACAAATCTTGAAGGTGGTGGAAACATACAAAAAGAAAAGACCTTAATTGACTTTACTATAAACTTTCAATAGATTTAAATATATTTCAAACTCGTTATTCGAATCATTGAAGAACCAAGTGTGAGAATTAACACTAATTTTTAAGGAATCAGACAATTATTAACTGAATCACATGCAAGGACGAATCCATTTCACATTCCACGAAAATAGAAGGAAAAATAAAATTGTACAATGCTAAAAAGAATGATAAGAAAGAAATCAAATCATACATCGGAAACTAACCGGAGAGATGGAAGAAGAAGCTTCGGAGTCTAGTAAATCGTTCTCTGACTCCACCGAGAGAGAGAGAGTGTGTGTGTGTGAGTGAGATAAGAAAGGGACGACGACACTTGAGTTTGAGGATGAGTTAACACAAAGGGATCAGAGAGAGGAAAAAGGAAAAAAGATAGAGTAAGCTTTTGGTTTAGTGTAGATTTTTGTGCCTTGAAGATGACGGCGACGAAAATGGAATGAATATAAGAAGAAAAGAGGAATACAGAGAGAAAAGTCACGAGACGATTGTGTTCTTCTTGTGTACAATCCTCCCCAACTGAGTCTCTTTATTTACTCATTACGTCTCTCAACTAATTTCACAGATTGTAGTGTGACAACTTTCAATTTTCTATAACTAACTGTTGATTGTGACAACTGACAAGTATGGATTTTTCCTTCTTTTTTGCCTAATCAATGATTTGCACATTACGCTAAACAATAAAAAGAGTATTTAGATGCTTATTATACTTAAAAAGATTTTATTTTCGTTTTCTTGTGTAAAAGCCTCAACGATTTACGAACAAACAAAAGATGTGAAGACAAGAAACAATATTGTTTTTTTGCTATCATCTCCATATCAAATCTTGTAAAATGTTAACAGATACAACAAACCATCCAAGACACAACAACTCAAATTCAGCCAAAACAATTAATGAAATAAAACAAATAGAGAGCCAAGCAACAAGACGAGAAGAACATGACAACCAAATATAGAAAAAAAGCTATGTTCAGCTCTGCACCTGAGCTTCTGCAGCTTCTTTCTCTTCATTGGCTGCAGCCATTAGTTCATCAAACTTCTCCGACTTCCCAAGTGTAATTTCAATCTGCAAGACAAGAGAGAGGTCACAATCGATTGCTGTAGACAAATGAAGGAAACCAAACTAGTTTGCTCTCTAAAAACTACCTTAGCTTTCTGCACAGGACGTCCTCTTGCGTCATCTTTAATATCCACAGTTGATGTCATGATCTCTATATTTTCCCAAAAACAACACTTATTAGTCGCCAAAATCTTCAATAGAACAACAAACAATGTGCTAAATTCAGGGCTTATGAGAAAAACTTACTCTTTTCAACAGCAAACCCATTGTTCTTCAGTATTTCAGCAACAGTAACAACGGTTGCAATGGCTGCACATTTTTCATATTGAATTACAAACATAATTAGTATACCAATAGACAGATTCTTCTTCTGTTTTATGTTCATCAGAGAGTGTTTACTACACATATTACAGTTTCGGTGTATACAGAAGAATGACATTAAGAAAGGAATATGTACATACCCATCCCAAGGGCAGACAATTCGACATCACTGTACTGCTGCATATACCTCTGAAACAAAAAACAAATCTCAGCTTAATCAATCTATGGATTACAGATCCTAAGAGTGACCACATAAACACATCAAGCAAAACCAAAAAATTCTGCGATTGCCACATTGTAAAACATAAAGTCTAGAATTTTCGAAATCGGAAGAGATTTGACGAGTCCAGAAATTAAATTCAAGCGTAGACGACGAGTTCTGTAGCAATCGAAATAAAAATGTGTACCTTGGCGAGATTGACGTAGAAGAACAAAGGTTTCTTGGTGTTGGAAACCTGAATCCGGTTTTTCTTCTGGGAATCAACGGCCAAGTTCATGTTGTTCACTCCATCTGTGATCTCTTCCATGGACGCTAAATTCGGAATTCGTAACCCTAATTTCTTTTCAAGGTAGAGAGAGGGACGAGTAAGAAAATTAATAAACACACGAGAGACACTTCGTGACTTGTGTGGTGGTGACCCAAACCTCTTTACCCACAATCCGGGTCAACCCGGATATGAAATCGGGTTTGTTGCCTTCATGATTAATTTCACCCAAAAAAAAGTTTAATGTACCAATTAGCATAATCTGGAAGGCAAAAGGGTTGGGCTTGGTTTGGGCCTAGTAGAATTCTCAACAAATGTGTTTCTTGTTATCTCAGTGTGAGATGCATACATAAAAGTATGAAACACTTTACAAGATGTACCATTAAGATTTCACAGGTTTTAGCTTTTTGCTGATGATCCAGTCGAGATGTATCTATTAATTGTGTATATAGGCCATAGCCTTAGGTGTTGGAAGGATCTCGTGTAAAAGATAGATTGAATTCTATTACAATAAATAATGATATCTATCGAGAATGATCTTATAGTAAGAATATGGTTGAAGCCTACTACGTGTCGTACGGTCCAATGAATTATGTGTTGAATAAACGTCGATCGTGTTGCTCTGTAAGTCGTCCTAACTGTATTGAGTGATACGATGTAAGACTAAATCTCTATCCACGATGGAATTTAGTTATTATCTATGGCCTCGAATATAAATTGGTTTCTTGGAATCTTAGCCTTTCATAACTGTTTGGTGTTAAATGAAGCATGGACTATAACTACAATATGATCCAAACCATGCCCTAAGAGTGTGGTCCATGAACATGCAAATTAAACTAAATGCTTGTGATGGATCATGGATGGGTCATCGGTGATGGGTCCTATACTCCTTTTTAGCTTAGTTTCGTGCTATAACTATTTCCAGTTTGATGATTAAATCATATATTTTGATCATGTTTATAGGACTGCCAAGCCAATGAGTTGGATTCTGATTCAATTAACAGAATCATAATGAAACTGATCGAAATTACCTGCCGTATATATAATAAAATCAATATATCATATTGACATTATAGAAAGATAAGAAAATTTTGTATCATTTGATGATTACGGTAAAGATATCTTAATCCAACACCGTACGGTAAATGCCACGTTTCATCTAAGACAACGCATTGAAGAGATCGATGGCAATGGAACCAATTCTTGTTTTACTTGTGTGCAGATAATACTTATAAGTTCTATCGTAGCATAAATATAGTTTTATATGCAATTTTTTTCCCTGAAATATAAGAGAATGCTATATGTGGGACACGCTTGTGCACAGTTCGATGATTCGATCTCTAATATCGAGATTTCGAATAATACAGTATGATAAAGAAACCCATAAGATAGTAGGTCAAATGTACTTGAGGATTGGAGTCAACTGAAAATAAAAATAAGCTAATTATTAAGTCAACTGAAATCAACTATTTACTGCCTAGTATAGTTTGGTGTAATTATACCAGTGTTCGTTTGGTTTATTTTCTTTGATGAAGATTTGTTTTCAAAGAGACTATTCTTGTTTTTTGTTGAGCTTTTACTAAGAGTGATAAGATGGACCGCTGATGATGACTAGAACATGGTGAATTATCATTCATTCTACAATGACACTAATTTGATACCCTTTTCGACATCATTTTTCGTGTATCATACTATATATATAGCTTCAGATCCGTCTCATATTTAAAAGATTTGAACAAAAATGTTAGCTCTTCTGTAATTATTATATTAAACAATTGTTTTTTTTTTTAAAGATTAGATAGCATCCATATAAACGACTATGACTAAAAGTCATGCATGGATCTGATCGCATCACTTATATATTAAATAATACTATACCTACCAAGGACGATAGAATTGATTACTATTGTATATGTCTGATCCATATATATGTGTTACGTAATTATTAACATTTTACAAAACATTGGTATTAAATATCAATGTTTAGGATAGCGACAAAAGAGCTCGAGTTAATGAGTTGCTTTGTTTAATGGAGTTTTAGATCCGAACAACTCTAGAAGCACGGATCTTAATATGCTTGTGCATATATATTAATCTATAACCAGAACGTGGAGTGGGTCACACATCCACATGCATTTGTGTAAGTCTCTAATAAGTGTGAGGATGTAAGAATATGTTCACTCACACGCACACACTCTTAATGTATCACAGAAATGTAGTATGAGTACGAGTGTAATTAGGTGACTCAGTTATGAGTGTTTTTGGTTCTCAATAAATATGTAGCCAACCCAACAAGTATATTTCCTTAAAAACTACCAAAGTCTCATTCAATGATATATTTTTTTAAGGGGTTCGCAATCTATTCCTCCTTTGAAACTTTAACGCTATCCAAAACTTAAAAACACACTCCTATTAGGCAAAGACACTCTTCCACCTTTTAAGTATTCAGGAACAACATCACATTACATTTTACAAGGCTAAACAAAAGAATAATGATACTACTTGTTTGGATCCTCGGAAGCTAAAAAAAACTATTCTTATTGGATTCAATTTCTAAATTGAACTGATAAGTTGGGAGATTTGATTGTACAGTTTATATAACGAATGTTATGTCGACTGTTTTGATGTGTATAAATCTGACTTCTCGCGATAGGATCTTATTAAAAAAATGAATGGATCTAATATGGTTTACAACCTTAGTTTTGGGGATCCTAGAGTTTTTTTTCACCAAAATGTAAAGAGTTTACTATTTACATCACATACCATATGAATAATTAATTAATTTGGAAACTGATCCCAATTAAAATATTTCTTTCCATATTGAAGGTGGCTTTTGGTAATACTGTAATAGTAATACTCAATTAACCGAAGGGTGATTTTGTCTTTACACTTGCTTTTTTTGTTGTCTCTTCCTAATTCCTATTGCTGCTGTTAAATGGCTTGCGGTGTTGGCAATGTCTCTCCTCTTACACTCTTTCTCTTTACACCAAAAATGCTTTTGTAACCTCTCAATTTTCCCTCTCTCTTTTCGGCGGTTAAGCTGCCTCAATCTCACACCCACCATAAACCAAAAAAAAAGTTTGAATCTTTTACTCTTATCCTTGAAACCCAATTGATCGTACTGATCCTGAATTGTTCAAGAACAGTTTTCCTCATCTGTAGAGACCGTGATTGAAGTGAGCAGAACAAATGCCGCTTGTTAGGCACGAAGTGAAGAATGTCTACGGTTTAGGGAAAACAGAACTTCACAAAAATGTCGAACGTGAAGACACCAAATCGATTCTCGACGGCGTCGCCGTTTCTGGACTCGTTGGGATCTTGCGTCAACTCGGTGATCTCACCGAGTAAGTCTTCAAGTCAACCCCACACTCTCTGTTTCCTCTATTTTTTTTAAACAATTTATATTAGTTTAACCTACAATTGAGTTGATTTACTTTAAAAAGTATTGTTTTTTTAGCTTCTAACTTTCTAAGTGAAATCTTCAGTTTTGCTGTGTTTGGTCTTCTTCATTTGCATAGTTTATGGGTTCTAATCAAATAAATATAAAAGCTTAAATTCACATATGATTCAGGTTTGCAGCAGAGATATTCCATGGGATACAAGAGGAGGTTATGATTACAGCTTCAAGAAGCAGTAAATTGAAGATGAGACTGAAGCAAATAGAAGCTAATGTTCCTTCAATCCAGAAGACAGTGCTTGCACAAACAAACCACATCAATTTTGCATACACTGGAGGTTCTGTTTTTTTTTTTTTTGTCTTGTCTCTTGTCAAACTTCTCTATTGTCTAGTTTCATGCTGTTTGATTCTTGTTTAGGCTTCACATGTGTTCTATTAAAAACAAAATTATATCCTTTGAGTAACTTAGTTCATTGGTAGGCCCAAGCTTCACATGCCTTTTCACTAACTTCTTTACTTAAAATACTCTTTGAGGAGGTTTCTCTAGTTTAGAATTTGGTAATGATAAAACTAGTATTAGATAAATACATGGTGAAATATTTTCTATGTGAAAGTTGGATGGATACCATTGAAGCACTAGAGTGACTCAATAGAGAGTTTCACATGATGTTTCAGGTCTTGAGTGGCATCCTCGTATACCAAATGTGCAAAATCAGTTTCTTTATGACTATTTGCCACAGTTTATCATGGCTCCTTATGAAGTTTGCAAGGATCCTCCGCGGTTGCATTTGCTTGATAAGTATGTGTTTGTGTTAATTTCAGTTGCTGCTATCTTTCAGAGTGATTAGAAAAATGTGATACTTATTTCTTTTGTGCTTCTCTTCAGGTTTGATATAAATGGGCCAGGTTCTTGTTTGAAACGATACTCAGATCCTACTCATTTCAAAACTGTATCAAGAACTTCTAAACTTCCAGAAACTAAGGTTTGTTTTGGATATTTAATCAGTGAAATCATATTTTTTGTAGAGTTTCTTCTTCTTAAACTTATCTGCATGAAACAGAAGAAAAAATCTGTACAACGGAACCGAGATGTATCAAGTCTTGCCTCTATAGCCAATCAGAATGACAGGTAAAAATTCATTGTGGACTTGTCATTGTTGAAATGTGTTTTTGTATATGACTCAGAACATGAATATTCATTATGATCTACAGGAAGACATTTGCTTTGAGCCTCAATGGAAGAACATCTTCCTCCAAAACTGCCTCAACGATTGAAACTGAATCGAAACCTGACTTGCAATATCACCGTTCTTTCTCTCTTCATTCAAGAAGTGGTGGTGAGAAACCAAAGGGTGTCTACACTTCTTCAAAATCTACACCAGGTTTCAGGACCATTGCTTCAGTTCTCTCTGATACTGAAAGCGAAGATGCAGATGACAGTCCTTCTCAAGATCCAACGGCTCATGGCTCTTCTTGCATTAGTTGGCATGAGAAAGCTGAGATAGTGGAAACAGATGTTCTGCAATGTGCAGCAGAAGAAGCTCCTCAAGTAATGGAGACTAACTTTGTAGTGGATGCTAAACCTAAGGGAATGGTAATGGACAGTGAAGATGAAACTGAAAGTGAAGGGGATGATTTTGTTGATGCACCTTACACCATTGATTCGGAATCTGAAAACGATCAGAACAATGAAGAGGTGAAGAAGAAGTTTTCCAGTGAGATCAGACAAGAAAAGTTGGATGAGCAAGAAACAGAGAAGACTTCTAACAAGTTTAGTGATGATGAGATGATCTGTGCTGGTTCTGCTGCTGCATCAGATCTACAAATCTCAAGATCTGATGTGCTGATTCATCAAGAACCATGGGCGGTTTCTGATATAAGCAACGGTACTCATAGTTATTATTCCAATGGCTTCTCAAACCCATTGTATGATGCTAATGGTATCCAAGAACATCAAGAATCAGAAGATGAGTCTTCTTGTGACACCGAAGCGACTAAACTATGGAATAACGGAAATCTACTGGGAGTGAAACCATTGAAACCGGAGATTATTGCAGCGGAAATCATCATTCCAGAGAATGATGAAGAAGAAGAAGAAGACACTGATGCTGAAACGTTCCAAGAGCACCTGAGAGAAGATGATGATAAAGCTCCTTTTGATTGGTTTACATCATCTCCTCCACTAAGTCACATGAAAATATCTTTCAATCACTCAGAAACCTTGCAAAGCTCCGAGTTGAAGCTGAAACTTCCAGAAGAATATACGTTTTCTTCATTTCAGTTGGTGCCAGAGACTGTTGCTACTTCACTTCCTGATTCTGATTCAGACAAGGACACTTTCTGTAGATCATCTTCTTACATCTCAGATAACAGTGACAATCACTCCGTGTCAATCTCTGAGCAGCAGTGGCAAGAAGAAGAAGAAGAGATCAGTGAAAGAAATATCCAACAAGAGCTCAAAGCTGAAGCTTCTTCTCACTCAGCTCCATCTCCACAGATTGAAACATCATCAACAAATGGTTGTTTAACTAAACATCTCTCGTTCCTCCAAAATCCAGTTGAGCCTTTACCACCTCCTCTTCCACCGTTACAATGGATGGTCTCAAAGATACCCTCTGGGAGATTCGAAGATAACAACAAGCAGTCCTCTCTAAAGGACACTCTCATACAAGAACTCAAACAGAACAATTCTTTATCTACAGTCAAGAAAGAAGAGCCAAACAACACTTTCATTGCTTCTGATCGGCCTAAACTAGAGAACAACAACGTATGGAGATTTTAGTTCTTCGATGTTTGTTTTTCGGCTTTTTTGATATTAAGGAGTTTTCATGTTGTGATTGATAGGTATATCAGAAGAAAAATGTGAGGGATTATAAGCAGAGTCTTGGCATCAAAGAAGAGACGGAAGCTGGAGACTTCTTGCATCAAATCCGAACAAAAGTGAGTCTTTCTTGATTTGTTTATTTTCTATAAGGAATGTTAAATGGGACAAGTTTTTGTTTGTTCTCCAGTTCTCATTGTCCATTTTAATCATAACAGCAATTCAACCTGAGACGTGTGGTCACGACGAGGACAGCATCATCGGAAGCTGCAATGAACAACAATTTCAGCGTGATTTTAAAGAAGGCAAACTCCATCCGACAGGTTTCATCATCGTTTGCATGCATAATGATCTTCTCTTTCAGTTTCCAAGTACCAGTTTTGTGTTCTTAAAGGGATTAACATTTCGCACTTGTGGTCTCATCAGGCTGTAGCAAGCGACCATGGAGATGGCGAAAGCGATACATGGAGCGATAGTGATACGTAACAACCAGTGCAATTCACTAATAGAAAATGTGTAGTTTGGCAGTTTAACAGAATGTTGATGATTTACCAAATTATATTATCTTTTTAATTCTACCTATAACCATGCAAAAAGTATTTTAGAAGTTAATATATATATTTTTTTAATTTACAGTAAAATGTTTATTAGTAAATTTGACACTTACATTACATTATAGAGATGGAAAATATTTGAAATTTAGCAGAAATAATTGAAATGTATCTAAAAATAAATAGTTGTTACTATATTCATTAGGATTATATACCCTTTATATCATTAATTATTAGATTTTATTATCTTTTAAAACCAATTTGTTAATATAGAAAAATGAATTAGCATAAGAAACATGATTTATTTAAACCAACAATATCTCGTACGTATCAATCCACACGCGGAGATATAACTCCTTCCCGATTCGTTATCCCAAATCTCTCAGTCAGATAACAGTCTCCTTCCAGATCTGTTGAATGTGTTTATCGAAGTTGATTCAGAGACGTCACTCAAACTACTTGTGCTTGTAATTTTAGGTCACAACACCTTCTCTGGCTTTAGGTTTTGAGCACAATTCTCTCGTTGATTCGGATGAAGGCTCTTATTCTCGTTGGAGGTTTCGGAACTCGATTGAGGCCGCTTACCTTGAGCATGCCAAAACCCCTTGTTGAGTTTGGAAACAAACCAATGATTCTGCATCAGGTAGAGTAGCTTCTTCTTCTTATTCTTTTGTTTTCTAATTATGATGCAATTCTCCGAATCATTTTTTATCAAACAACGAAACAGATTGAAGCTCTGAAAGATGCTGGAGTGACTGAAGCTGTATTAGCTATCAATCACCAACAACCAGAGGTAACATTATTGTCTCTGTCCGTAATAGTCATTTACCCTAGAAAAGATAGTGTTGTGTATGTTTATGTAATCCTCCTCCTTCTTCTAGGTCATGTTGAACTTTGTGAAAGAGTACGAGAAGAAGCTAGAGATTAAGATTACGTTTTCACAAGAAACCGAACCGCTCGGGACAGCAGGGCTTCTCGCTCTGGCTCGGGATATGTTAGTCGATGAATCAGGCAAACCCTTTTTTGTACTTAACAGTGATGTTATCTGTGAGTATCCATTGCTTGAGATGATCGAGTTTCACAAAACTCATGGCGCTGAAGCTTCTATCATGGTGACCAAGGTAACTGAATCAACCATTCATCTTGGTACTACTAACTTTTGATTTTCTTATGCTCTAATGTGATGTTATTGTGTTGATAGGTTGATGATCCTTCTAAGTAGGGTGTGGTGGTTACGGAGGAAGCTACAGAGAGAGTTGAGAGTTTCGTAGAGAAACCATTACATTTTGTAGGGAACAAGATTAACGCTGGGATATACCTCTTAAACCCATCTGTTCTCGACAGGATTGAGCTGAGAAGGACATCGATAGAGAAAGAGATATTCCCTAAGATAGCTTCGGAGAAGATGCTTTACGCTATGGTACTACCTGGCTTTTGGATGGACATTGGTCAACCGAAAGATTACATAAGAGGGCAGAGACTGTATCTTGATTCTCTAAGAAAGAAATCTTCTCAAGAATTGGTCATTAGGGATCATATCATTGGGAATGTTGTGGTGGATGAGAGTGTGGTTATGGGAGAAGGTTGTTTGATCGGACCTGATGTTGTGATTGGTCCGGGATGTGTGATTGGTTCAGGTGTGAGGTTGTTTAACTGTACTGTAATGCGAGGTGTTACGGTCAAGGAACATGCGTGCGTCTCTGATAGTATCTTGGGATGGGACTCGACCGTTGGAAAGTGGGCTAGGGTTTTTAATGTAACAGTTCTTGGGAAAGGTGTTCATGTTGCCGATGCAGAGGTTTACAACTCCGGGGATGTTATCCAAGAGATGGTCATATGATTGGTTTTTAGTCCCAATCATGCATCAAGAACTCTAATTCATCTTGTATTTTTTCTTCTTGTTTAATATATTGTGGCTTGCATAAAAAAAAAGAATCATTTTGAATAAATTTGTGTGGTGCAGCATCACAAATAGTGTGCCTTCCATGACCCATTGAATTGAGAAGACTTGTTATCTGTTAATACTTAGTAGTGTGCCTCATGAGGCCACAATGTGTATACAGTGGTTGTTGTTTCGGTTTGTATAGCCTCAACTTATAATGGTCTACAAGCAAGTGACATTACTCGTGGAGCTTAATATCAATTTGGCTTTAGAGTATTGTGAAAATAACCAAAAGATCACTGGTCAGTAGTCACTTTATGTGTGTCGTTTAATTTGTATCTTATTATAAAAAGGGGGAAATTGTAATGATTAGTTTTTTTGTGACCGATTAATTGCTTGTTAGTGTGACCATTAAATCAGAAAATTACTCCATAAAATTGGTGTTTGAAGATATACCAAAAAAGTGTATTGGAAAATCGTATAGGTCTAGGAATCATCACCAAACTCTTGAAAAACAAAAAGGAAATATGGAATTCTTAGAAGAATAGGAAACACAAACTCTTAAAAAATTAGGAAAACTAAAAAAAAAAGTTATAAACCTCGTTATAAAACCGGGACCCTTTTAATTTCTACCAGGATAAATAGCTCCCGTGTTCTCTTATCTCCAATCTGTTCTAAGCAAATCTTTTTTACAACTTCCTAGATCGCCTGGTTTCGTTTTCCTATCGTAAGTTTTCATCGTGCTTATAATTAGGGCTTCCAGTACAAGTCTCTGTGTTAATTTTGGCCGCTTAGAAAATAAAGGAGAAACCCTAAACATTGTTTTCATTCGGTACTCAATTAGGTTCAATCGAAGAAGATGATAGGAGTAGAAGATAACAACTGGTTTGATGTATTCATGCATGAAGTCGGAGTTGCATTGACCAAGGTTGACCAACAGATACAAAAGGTTAGTACCATTCTTTCTTCTGCTTTGATCTACTTTCCTTAGTTGTCTTTCATATTCGTTACATCGAAATATGAATAAACAAATATCAGAGTTTTCTATATACATGATCCAGCTATTAGAATACCAGAACTTTCCATGACTATATTATTTTGATACTTTACATTAGCTGAGATAGTTATGATTTGCTTACACCTCACTAGGCCGAGACCTAATGTTTTTGTGTTTTTGTTTTTGCAGAGTATTGAACTCTGGACAGAGTTAAAGACAGAGTTAAGCAGAAACAGATCTGTCATCGATGTCCCAACAGACAAACAGCCTGACCAAAACTCGACCGGACAACCAAATAATGGTCAATCTGGTGAAGAACGTTCCTCTCAAGAGATACCTGTCGCTAAGGTGAAAGAGAGCCCGATTCAACACTGGGCCATGTGTCTTGGTGATGCAAAAGAAGAAGCGGTTCAACACTGGGCCATGTGTCGTGATAAGGTGAAAGAAGAAGAGACTATTCAACACTGGGCCATGTGTCTTTGTGAGATGAAAGAAGAACCGAGTCAAGACTGGACTACTATGTCTGGTATGTGTTCTATAGTTTTATTATAAATATTTTTTTTTTTGTTTCCCTCATTCCCGACTTGGTTTCTTGACGGACAAGAATCATTTTAATTTCCTTGGCAGGTTCAAGTCTTCCAGAGATTTTGGTTCAAGAACAAAAGAATGACGACTGTCATGATGAGGATGAGGATGAGGATGAGGAAGAGGAGGATGATGATGAGGAGAGTGAGGATGAGGAGGAGGAGAGTGAGGATGAGAGTGAGGATGAGAGTGAGGATGAGGATGAGGAGGAGGAGAGTGAGGATGAGGAGGAGGAGAGTGAGGATGCGGATGATGATGAGGATGATGATGGTGATTATGATGATTTTGCTTATGGTGATGAAGAAGGCAAAGACGAGACTAGGGTTTCTAAATCTTGTGATGATGAAAACATGTGGGAGATCAATTTGGGAAGCCCGGGGACGAGCAACTATCCTCATTCAAACAATCTAGTTCACAATGAAGAAAACAATGTAAGTTGAAAGCTACTTAATTATTTCACGAATTTCGTAATTTTAATGATCACTTGCTAATTTAATTATTGTTTTTGACTAATATATTTTATGATTAATAGGGTTCAAGTTTGAGGTGGAGAGGAGGTTATGAGCTGTTAAAGAATGATTACCCGTCTTCCGAAGATGTAGATGATACGTGGGACATTACTGAAGAGGAAGTGAAGGAATGGTCTCGGAAGCTTGGACTCATGAGGGATGAAAGTAAGGAATCATTAGTGGGTCATGTTGAAGCTGGAGCTGGAGCTGGAGCTGAAAACGAAGGTGAAGATGAAGAAGCAGATGACGTGTCGGACAAGTTACAAGGATTTGTGGATGTCAAGGAAGAGGAGATTGTGAATAATACGGAATTTGATGAGGTGATCGAGACCCTTTCACCAGGAAATGACTGGGTTTACGTGACGAGAGACTAGATCACTGATTTTTTGGCATATTTTTGTGTGATCTTAGTTTGAGAATTATAACTTTATATCGGCTTTTATGAATACACTTTTGGTTTTTGGAGCGTTTCTTTCGTTTTTCTCAGACTGCCTATGTCAGTCACTCTATCAAATATGCCTCAAACAAATTTAATACAGAACGTTCCAAGTTTCAGTCTGATCAAAAGCATAGTTACAATGATGATTAAGCTGATAGTACTTATTATAAGGACTTAAGTACTTAACCGCAAGAGAAAAAAAGATCTTTTTGATCGAACTAACAAAACTAATACTAGCCACTAATTAAGCTTAAGATTGGGTTTTGAGTGCCAAAGGAAATATCCGACGCTAATTGAAAAAATCGACCAAAAAAACGAAAAGGGCGGAGAGGAGAGAATGGTTCGTTCTGTTTCAGTCCGGTAATGATGGAGATTTGCTTAATCGGGGGTCTGGTCCATTACAAGGCTCCATCTCCTTTGTCTCTTCATCCTCCTCTTTTCCGCCATCACCACAATTCGACTTCTCTCATGACCGGCTCCGTTTCAGCCGAACGCCACTCCTCCTCCTCCACCGTCGAGCCACCTTCTCTCCTCGTCTTCTCAGGTGACCCACACTTTCTTCCCATTACTCGCTTCGTGGGTCTCCTTAAAGTTTTGATTTTTCGATTGGCTTATTGCGAAAAATCGTTAATTTGGGCTTAGATTTTGACCAATTAACGAGAATTTGTCAATCGGAGTGACACTTCAATGTCGAACCTTTTCTGTTTCCGATTCCAAGCATCGTTTTTTAAAATGAAACATATGTTAATTCAGTTTATGTTACTCTGAAAGCTGTCACATTGGCAACACATTGATTTTGGTTTAATTGGATTATTTTCTCTGAAAAAGTTTACATTTTGTTGTAATGAAGGTGGCACTGGATTTAACGGTGTGGTGGAAGAGTTGAAGAAGTTAACAACCCGAGTCGCTCATGTTCTTCCCGTCTCTGATGATGGAGGAAGCACAGCTGAGATTGTTCGTGTTCTCGGTAACTTCTTCGACTGAATCAGATTAGATTCTTTTAAAGGCGATACATTTATGTATCTGCGTTGCTATTAGGAGGGCCAGCGGTTGGTGATATACGCTCAAGGTGTTTAAGGCTCTCTGATGAAAGTACTTCAGAGGCGCTCGCTGTTAGGCGGTTGCTCGGTCATCGTTTACCTATAGATGCACATAAGGCCAAGAAAGATTGGTACTTTATTAGACATTAGTGTGTAGCCTACTCTCTAAGCTTCTCTTTTGAGCTGTGTGCTGAGTTGGAAACTTTGATAGGTATGATATTGTGGAAGGCAATCATTCTCTGTGGGATGAGGTATCAAGACCCTACAGAGAAACAATCCGCGCTTTCTTGGTTTACTTTCAGAATGAGGTATCAAATGTTTCATGTTTGATCCACTTCCATTCTTCTTGATTCAATAAAGTTTTTGTTTTTCTTGTTTATGTTAACGAGGAAGCAGATTCTTAGACGACCTAGTGAGAGATTCTGCTTCAGTAACGGAAGGTATTGAAGATCTTATTCTCGGCTTCAGTAATGTGTATTGGTTGCTAAAGTATTGATTTTTATTGTCCTTGTTGTAGCATTGGGAACTTCTTCTTTGCAGGAGCAAGGATATTTTTCCAGTCTTTAGATGCAGCGATCTTTCTGTTCTCACGTGTTTCAGAGATTCCTTGTGACAGTTTGGTCCTCCCAGTGATATCAACCAATGACAGGCTTACATTAGGATGTGAATTACAGGTCTGATAGATACTTCATCTCTGTTTGAAATCCGGCAGCTATATTCAGGTGAAGAGTCTGACTGTTTTTGACGTTTGGATTTGTAGGATAAGACTATAATCCGGGGACAGAACGAAATCTCTCACCCGGCCAATGGGAATATGCAAACCGTTGACAAGGTGTTCTGTTTATTAACAGCTTACATTGAATATTCTAATGATGATCACAGCAACAAAGATGAAAGTTTACTTGTGCTCTATAGAGACATTGTTCGACTTCTGCTCTTAAATCAAAGATAAAGAGAGTCTTTTACATGTCAAGTGAAGGCAACAATCTTCTCCATGAGGTTAACCACTGTTTACTTTCTTGATTGTTATATCTACTGTATATCTTCGTTTTGCTTATGCATTGTGTTATGTCCATTGATTAGGTCTTCCCACCGGTTAATCCAAGTGTCTTGGAGCAGTTGAGAAGTGTAGACTGTATCGTTTACGCAATGGGATCTCTATTCACTTCCATTTGCCCATCACTGGTAAGGAACATTTGTCTGCATGTTGCTACAGTGAGAGATTACTAAGTCTGTTTCCTCAGGTTCTGCTTGGTGTTGGGGAGATTATCTCTTCCAGGTCCTGTCGTAAGGTAACAGCTCATCAAGAAAGAATACTAATGGTGGACAAAACTAACTTGTTGGTTTTTGGAAACTGACAGGTACTTTTGTTGAACGGTGCACAAGACCGAGAAACAAGCGGCTTCACTGCTTCCTGCTTTGTGACTGCTATCGCGGACGCTCTCAACAGAACTCATGGAGATTCTAATATTCGTCTCAAGAATCCAGTGAGTTGGTTTTTTAACCACCACATCTGCTAAATCCACCCTCTCTTTTGATCTAAGAACAGACATTTTTTTCTGTATGCAGCCTGGATATTATATTAACACACTCTTGGTCCCGAAAGATGGAGAAATAGTTGTTGATCTCAAACAATTGTCTGAGCAAGGAATCAACGATGTTGTTAGTATCTCTCCCTCTCTCTCTCCCTCGCTATGTCCACAACAAACACTCACTGTTGCTTTCTTTCTGTTGTTGCAGAGAGTCGTGGAGAGTGTTCGTGACCCAAAGCATGGGATCTTGTTCCACCCAAGCTCACTGATTAACACACTGGCCGGTTTGGTGGAGTAAATAAAATAGTGATTCTTTAGGCCAGAGCTAGTTTTTTTTTTTTCTTTTGACTTATGTGATGATAATACGCAAATGCAACTACCAATTTTTTGTTACTGATTAATTTGATCTTTTGGCCAGAGCTAGTTTTTCTATAAAATATACTTGTTTTGAGCTTTTATGCATTATTTTTGCCTTTGTCGTTACAGTATGTGACACTTATAAGTCAAGTGGAGAGACATAAATATACCAAAGAATTAAACTTGTAGGATGAAGATGATGACACAACCATTTGAGCCCATGCTCCACTGCTCCTCTATACTGATTGCATATCTCTAATATGTATTGTCTAATTTAATAAATATTATTAAGGATTTTGTTGAATAAGTTAGTGGAGAGGGTTGATAAGTTTGTGGAATGAATAAAATCAAGCTAGACATCATAATGTTTGTTGAATAAAATGTATAATATCTATGAAATATGGCATGATAGTTTGTTGGGTTTTGTGCAAAAAAACCATCAAACTAAATTATTTTTGCAAATCAAACCCTCAACTAAAAGATGTGCAAGTCAATCCTATGAACTCTAAAGTCACCCACTATATAACTCTTCTCTATATTGCCTACATGGCAACGTTATTGTCTGTTAAAAAACAAACAGAAAATTAAAAACATACAGTTTTCTCACTTTACAAACTACACACAAATTTGCCCAAAAAACAGAAAACAACACACAGTTTTTCCCCTTCTCTTCCAATTACGTTCTTCATTAATTTAATAGAACGCTGCATGTTTCAATCTAAAAGTTAAATTAACTTAAATGAAAACATTCTGAAAAGTGAAAACATTAACTTAAATTAATTTTGCAAAAATATAAAATTAGACTTTCAATCAAAAATTTCTGGGAAAACTGTACTGATTACAACCCGATTTACATGTTTAAAAGAAAAAATCTTTCAAATTAACTAGCCGAATTTTATAAGAGAAAAAGTAAAATTGAAACAGAACCCAGATTTGGGCAAGGAAGAAGCCATTGTCATCAATATCATATCTCATTGACAATCTGTTTGAAGTCAATGTATCCGAAAAACTTAAAATAGATCACATTCGTTTGCTGGTTATTCTCTAATAGGGAGAAACATAGATCGGAAGAGGATGGGTTCTTACGGCGGAGAAGAGCCATTGGAGAGAGAGATGGGAAAGAAAGCATCATAATGTCTCTGAAGATAGAAGCAATGATTTGCTCAATACATATCTTCAAAACTGAAATCAAATATTTTATGGTTTTTACCACAAAAAAAAAATCAGATCTGAGATTCTAATTGAATCAAAGTTGATCAAAAGAAATGAAGAAGATAATGATGATGGCCTAGACTTAATGAATTTAATTATGGTTGTTAACTTTTCTAGATCATAAAGTTCTACCTCAGACAATTGCAGAAAAAAGTAAGAGGAGAAGAGGACGAAGAACAAGGAGATAATGGTGTTTTTCTTCATTTTGTTTTCTATTTTTTTCTAAATATTTTTTTTATTAATTTTAAAATGGCATGATGTTTTTGTAATAAAACTCTGCGTTTTGATATTCCGTCACTGATATAACGGAAGGGTTATATAGCGGGTGACTTTTGTAGGATTGACTTGCACATCTTTTAGTTGAGGGTTTAATTTGCAAAAAAAAATTTAGTTCGAGGGTTTTTTTGCACAAAACCCTAGTTTGTTTTAGTCATTCTTATAGATATGATAAACAAATCCACTTTCTAACAGAATTTATTACAAAAATAATGTAAAGTACACGCCAAAAAAGAAACATGTATAAAATTGTTTTTTCTTTCTTTGCCATAGGGATGTGTATAATGGTTTATCCTTCGACTATATCCGTTTGACATAAACTATTATATTTGTGACGAAAAGAGAAAAATATAAAGCGTCATCTCTGAATAATAAAAAAAAACAATAAAATATCGAAGACAGAGTACTTTTTGTGAGATTTCTTGGAATAAAATTGGACCAATATTCTAAGTTCGTGTTACGACAGTAAAAAATAAATTGTTTGTTAAAACTTTTTTTGCTGTTTTGGATTGAATCAAATTGATTTATATGGAGAAAGTCTACAATTTTGTAGCAGAAAAAGACTAGCATGGAAAGTATCTTATTTTATTTTAAATATACATTTACATTTCATTTGTCAACAACTGAAAACATGATCCATTATTTTGTGGAATTTGTTCAAAGTTCAAGCAAAAGCGAGAACTCTCCAAGTGGTGGTGAGGGTGGGGAAAGAAGAAAATTCATTAAGAAACCGAAAGGTATTTCTAAACATGTAGCTTAAATGATTACATAATCAACCAAATAAAGTGAAACCTTTTTGAGCAGAATTTGTGTGTGTACATTTAGACATGTCAAACTGGTTATCTTGAGAATATGTTACTCAATTAATCAACAATAATAAAAATAATGAAGTTACAAAAAAAAAAGATACAAATGGAGAAATTTTTCTTCCAAAATCTCGGCGCAAGTAATGCAAAGTATTAACACCACCTCAATTGGGTTCGTCAACTTGCATTTGCCTACATGCGATTGGATCTCGTTGTTCATCCCCAAAATCTATAAATACTCTTCCTTCTATCCTCACTTCTTCACTACACCACAACACCATTAGTCATAAGCACAACGAAAGAAAAAAAAAACATAATTCGTTCTTCTATTTTCCCATTTTTTTTCAAAACTAAAATGGTATCAATCATCATGGTCTTGGTCACGGTTTTGACCTTCAGAATCGCTCAAGCCACGTCTCGTACTGTCACCTTCCACGGGCCGTCGCTGGTTGATAAACATGAGCACTGGATGGCCCGATTTTCTCGCGTATACCGTGATGAGCACGAGAAACAGATGAGACGCGATGTGTTCAAAAAGAACTTGAAGTTCATTGAGAACTTCAACAAAAAAGGGAACAAAAGCTACAAGCTTGGTGTCAATAAATTCGCTGATTGGACCGACGAGGAGTTCCTAGCAGCACACACCGGACTAAAGCATACGACCAGAACTTTTCCATCAAAGGTGGTCGAGAAAACGTCGTCTATGCTTTGGAACGTTAGTGACGTGGTAAGCGAGAGCAAGGACTGGAGAAACGAAGGAGCTGTCACTCCTGTCAAATACCAAGGCCTATGCGGTACTGCTTTTTTTTCCAAAATTATTTTTTGTTTAACTTCTTTCCAAAATTATATAATACATAACGTTCCTTCACCTATTTTGATCCAAAAGAGAAATGGAAATAACTTGAGACCCACGATTGTTTTAAACAAAAAATTGCATTTGTATATTCAAATATGTTTTCAGAATTTTAGTTTCTATTTTATCAAACATCATTTGAAAAGTTTTAACCTACACATACGACATCGAAACGACTTTGCATACGTAATATTCAAAAAAACAAATAAAAGATGGTTGATAACAACGCTTAAATGTTATGGGTTTTTTTTCTAAGTAATAAACTTAATAATTTTGCATGTACAAGTATAAAACTAAAAAATACAATGCAAAGGCAAAAACTAGTGCGCAAAATAGTAAACTTGATGTGCAAGTTAGTTATAGTAAATAGGGTTAGTGATGATCTTATCAATTATCCATATGTACAGGATGTTGCTGGGCGTTTTCAGCTGTAGCAGCAGTGGAAGGTGTAACTAAGATCACCCGCGGGAACCTCGTGTCTCTTTCCGAACAACAGCTTCTAGACTGCGACAGAGAGTACGACCGAGGCTGCAACGGTGGAATCATGTCGGATGCTTTCGACTATATTGTCCAAAACCAAGGCATCGCTTCGGAGAACGAGTACTCTTACCAAGGATCGGACGGGAGATGCCGGTCCAATGCAAGACCCGCTGCGCGGATCAGCGGATTCGAATCAGTCCCTAGCAACAACGAGCGTGCCTTGCTCCAAGCCGTATCGAGGCAACCCGTCTCTGTGTCGATGGACGCGAGTGGGGACGGGTTCATGCATTACTCGGGTGGACTATACGACGAGCCAAATTGTGGGACCAGCTCGAACCACGCGGTTACGTTTGTTGGGTATGGGACGAGCCAGGACGGGACCAAGTACTGGCTGGCTAAGAATTCTTGGGGTGAGTCTTGGGGAGAAAATGGTTACATTAGGATCCGAAGAGATGTGGCTTGGCCTCAAGGCATGTGTGGTGTAGCCCAGTATGCTTATTATCCGGTTGCGTAAGTGGTTTTTGTTATATATATTACACTTGGACTACAGTTCCAATGAAAAGTATCAAAGTAATGTATTATAATAGTTTCTTGGTTACTACATTAATATTGTTGAGTTGCGGACCTTGCGGTTTAGATCCACATCGCATACTTTGAGACACGTATTTGTAATATATTTGTCTGTACTGTTCTGTGTACGTCTTGCATGGCGTTGATGTAACTTGTAAGATATTTATTATTTAAAGAAAAATCGATATTTTGAATAAAAGTGATTATTTAATATTTTATATCATGCTTGGATGGGAGTGTTGATAGTACATTAGAAAAATTATACATTTAATTGCCATTTGTACCTGTGTCACAACACTGGACAACAGTTCTTGTGGTCGGAGTTCGAACTTTAGTCAGTAGAGTCCCGAGCTCGATTCCCGAGCCATTGAAGACAATCGCGGTTTTGTGTTGATTTGGTCATCACATTCTTCTGATCGACGGAAGAGATTTACGCGCATCTGAGCTTTGATTTCTTTTTTACTATTTTAATATATTCGCTTCAAGAATATTGAAATGTTTGTTGTTTTAGAAATCAGGCAAATATTTGGTATGTCATTGTACAAGGTCGCCATGGATTGGATATCATGCATGAAAAGAGACTGAAGTATTTACAGAGACGAGCAAATGCTTTTGTTTATGCTTAAGTTGAATTTTCTTACCTTGATAATGGAAAATTTCATAAGCTTTTGTAGAAGTTTTAATTTTTATTTTTCAACAACTTTTTCAACTTTTTGAGCTGATGAATGTTTATAAAATTATCGTCATCATGTCTTACGCATGCAGGATGTATATAGTTACACAAAAGACAAACGGACATAAGTTATTGTAAAATCCGTCAAAATACTGAATTTCGACTTAGTATACCAATATATTATCCAGCCAATTTTCACTATATAGTATATACATATTTTTGGTCATGTCTGTTTGATTGCTTCTAGTCGTTAAGTTTCAGAATGGAAGCATATAAACTGTCAAAATCAAAAGAAACGTGACATAATTTTCTTCCCTTACATGCATGTGAGTACTCCTGTGAAAATATAGCTAATTAATCACCCACTATTCTATAACAACTAATCAACAAAACACAATCAATTACAACAACAAAATGCCAAGGTTACCTGTCTAGCGCTGTCCATGTTCAACGATATCATTTTATTTTAATCAAAATTATACAACTAGACTAATGAAACCAAATGAACATATGGCGTAGAAGCATGTGAGAATTGATGAAAAATGATTTAAGATGTGTCCCCCGTGACAAACAAAGCAATATAGTGTCCCACTAACACATTTGATTCACTCACGGAAGCCCCACGAAAACAAACCTAAAATGATAATGTGGACCCGATGACTTGACCAAAACCATTTTGCTTTCGATAGTTATTACCAGAATTACTGTGACTTACAAGCTGTGGCAACAATCATTGGTAGGAGGTTCACAGCTTTGATTGTAGAGGTTACAGGTCACATAAGCTGCATATTCCCAAGAAGGAATATGATTTTAATTTTTATACAAGTCTTGCGAGAACGTTGGTATTCAAAAACATTTTAATTTTAATTTTAATGTTTTGAGTTATGCATTTTTTCTAGTTCAAATGGATTTTACACAAATATATCCAAATTGTAGCGATGGATTTCCAACTATTTATCAGCGTTATAGCCAAAATATTTTCTGATAAAAACCGATAGAACATTTTCTACACATGCTTAACAATCTATCTTACCAACATATGTTCGATGCTAAGGGCTAAACATAGGGATATATGCAAATTGGTCGCATGGTGTTTTCATGAAAGTTACATTAGTGAAAACAATATTCCTGAACAATGCAACGATATAAAGCCAAATAATATCGTCTTGTTGCCCATTGTCAGCGCACAAAAAGCTCCATCTAGTAATAGTAGTATCATAAAAAGCCAAACACACCAATATATGTCATGAACCATCTTACCTACAAGGCTACAACTATATAAAGGATATAAATGGGTCATAACGACTGACTATGGTAAGAACAAAAAAATACTTGTTGACAAATTCTAATAGACACAACCGATAACGGTTTTAATGACCGCAAATTTGGCTCACTGATATAATGATTTAACTCAAGATTCTAGATAATAATTTGTAAATAATTTGACAGCCTAAAAATGTAGTGGTTTCTTAATTAATTGATGGATATATATTTATATTTTGAACCGTATAAAGCCAAGAGTATCTCACCACCAAAGAATCTCTTCACACTACTCACTACGGTATTTATGTATATATATAATTAAGAGCATTTTTTTATTGGTGGTAATGTATGGAGTTTTTCACCATAAACGATAATATTTTTAGTCAAATGGTCATTTAACTTAGAAGGAAATTTTGGTGTTTTAAAAGATGACTGATTTTTTAATTCAAAATAAAATCTCTTTTTAAGGTATTATTTTCTTCAAACTTTCTCAAATTATTAGTGTTATTATTATTATTATATTAGTAAGAGAATCTGTTAATATTTGACCAATATAAGTAAAAGTTTAAGGGGAGATTCCCATATTAAATTACACTCAAATATATATATGTGTGTGTATATAAACCCCAATCGATCACAAAGCCTCTTCAAATAAACAAAACACATATATTTTTACATTGAGAGATGGGTTTAAAACTCATCTCTCTTTTCCTTCTTGTTTCACTTCTCATACTCACAATCTTGTTCGGAGCCGACCAGGCCTTGGCTTCCGACAAGAAACCGCATGTGAGCCACCGTAACAGAACGGCGTTGGCCGCCGCAGGAGGAGGAAAAGCGGTGATCATGAAAGGGAGGAAACAAGAGAGTGGTTGTAACTTGTTCCAAGGGAGATGGGTTTTTGACGCTTCTTACCCACTCTACGATACGTCTACGTGTCCATTCATCGACGGCCAGTTCGATTGTCTGAAATTCGGCCGACCAGACAAACAGTTCCTTAAGTACTCTTGGCAACCTGATTCATGCACCGTCCCAAGGTATGCAACATTACATATATACATACATACATACTTTACAAGCATGATAATGATAATGATGTTTATGTATGTGATCATGAAGGTTTGATGGAGAAGCGTTTCTGAAGAGATGGAGAGGGAAACGAGTGATGTTCGTGGGTGACTCACTGAGTCTAAACATGTGGGAATCGTTGGGATGTATGATACATGCGTCGGTTCCAAACACAAAGACCACTTTTCTCAAACGCAGCCCACTCTCTATCACTTTCGAGGTCCCTCCTTCTCTCTATTTTTCATTTTTGAGTTTTTCCCTGAAATTTAAATCAAGATTGTGTGTTTTGATAAAAACAAAATCTAATAATTTATCATCACGAGGAGGATTTGTCATTTTGTGGAATCGAGTTTGTCACGGACTATATACTACAGTATACTATACTCTCAAATTTTGCTTTTGATTTCAAATGTAAAAATGTTTTCTGCAAATGCTTGACATCCAAGGTATTATGATGCTGTCTGCCGCTCTTTCCTTGTCTTTTTTTGTTTTAACTGAAAAACTGGAATAGATTTGATATGTCATATCGAAAATTACATGAACAAATGACTAATGGAGGTAAAATGATTTGATATATGTATAAACATATCATTTTGCCTTTGTTTTCAAGTTTTGACTTGTGTTTTTTGGCACTTTCTATTTCTTATAGTTTTAAGGAAATTTTAAATAAATGATGATATTACAATAAATAATTTCGAAAGTAACAAAAAGAAGAGAACATAGCAGGAAAACGAAGTAGGAGACCTGACAGCTAATGACAACCAACAAAACTAGTCTAACTTTTCCTCTCGAAACCAAAATTATATGCATGTGACTGGATTTAAATTTGGATTATGGTATATTACAAGATCTAATCCAATTTTCTTCTTCATTCTTTATTGGTTTTCTCCTTATAAATCTCTTAGAAAATAGTAAAGAAACTTACAGTTTTACAAATAAAAAATATACAGGAATATGATGTAACATTATACCTTTACCGAACACCCTACTTGGTGGACATCTCCAAAGAAAGTGTCGGACGTGTGCTTAACCTTGGAACCATCGAAGATGGTGCTGATGCTTGGAAAGACATGGACATTCTCATCTTCAATTCTTGGCACTGGTGGGTTCACAGAGGAGCACAATCCCAAGGGTCCGTACCATACATCTTTTTACTTTTTTGTTTTGTTTGTTAACGTGCCAAGTATATGTCTAGCTTGGGATTAAGACATGCTTAGTTAACCAAACTCATCTTCTCTTCTTAAATTCTTGTTATTTTCTCAGGTGGGATTTTATAAGAAATGGGTCTTCACTTATAAGAGACATGGACCGTCTTGACGCCTTCAACATAGGACTCACCACTTGGGCTCAATGGGTTGATAAAAACGTTAACACTTCGCAAACCCGAGTTTTCTTCCAAGGCATTTCTCCTAGTCACTACACGTAAGTTCATCTTCATCACACACATGTACACATGCATTTAAAAATTAGGGATCTAAGGTAAAATGATCTTGTCTTGTTTCATTTTGGTAATTTAATAGAGGAAGTGAATGGCATGAGCCAAGGAAGAATTGCGAGGGGCAGATGCAACCATTGACCGGATCAACATACCCTGGTGGTTCACTTCCTGCACAAAACATCGTGTCTCGAGTGTTGAGCTCGATGAAAACGCATGTTTACTTACTTGACATCACAACACTGTCTCAACTGAGAAAAGATGCTCATCCATCTGCCTATGGAGTCGATAAAGGAATGGATTGCAGCCACTGGTGCCTTCCTGGCTTGCCGGATACTTGGAACCAGCTTCTCTATGCAGCTCTTTCCATGTGAAAAATACTAACTCAATTATACACACTTTGCATGTATGTTAATATGTAAAGAGTAACACATTTGAAAGCAATACAAATTTGTTAAGTCCTAACAAAATGGATTGAAGCAAATATGTGACAATATTTTGACAGGATCAAGAACTCGAATTCTGGCTTGTAAATGGTTCAAAACAAATGGCTATAATTTTCTATCAAACTGAACATGTTGTATATATAAAATATTGAACATGGTCTATTGTGCTGCTTATACTATGAACAAAACAATCAAGAAACTTCAAACAAAGGACACATAAAGTGAAGACGCACACACAAAACAACAGAGTAAAATTAAAAATTAAAATAAAAATCTATAAAAAGACACGACAATCTGTTCGTATCTCCCCATGTTTCCTCCCTCTCTTTACACCAATAGAACCCATCTTACCCATAGCGTCTCCAAACGCCTTAAGAAACCTCTGCTTGTCTCTAGCCATCTCAACTGCAATGGGCTTCGTTCTCGGGTCAAGAAACAAGGCTTGGTCCGACCCCAGAAGGCCCAAGTTAGTTCCTAGTCCTGTGAAATAGCCATTGTCGAAAACAAACGGAGTTGTCGTGTCTAGGGGAAGGGCAACGCCGGAGCTTCCGCCGGAGAAAGGGCATGACATACGGAGCTCCTTGAGTAATCTCGGGTCGAGAGTCGGGTCGGGTCGTTTTGTGCCTTTGTAGTCGTAGAGACGACCGGTGAAGCTTTTGCAGTGTGCGAAGCCGATTGTGTGGGACCCAGAAAGGACGACGAGATCGTCTACGGTTAGTCCTTTGGAGGCGAAGAGCTTGATTAGCTGATCGACGGTTGAGTTTGATCGAGGTATGTTTTGTGGGACGACCGCTGCCGTTGATCTTTTACCGTCCCATCTTCCTTTTTTCACTTGATAGTAGGGCCCACCTGCCTTAATTGCAATCAAAAGTCAAAACAAAGCATTAGTCACATAGTCAATGACACGTAGGATCATATATACTCCCTCCGTTTCAAATTAGTTGTCGTTTTGGGAAAATGTATCTGTAATTATTTGGATGTATCTGTAATGCAAAATACGTCCAGATACGTCCAAATATTTGCAGATACATTTTGCCAAAACGACAACTAATTTGAAACGGAGGGAGTACCATATTAATCATCATAGTGAACAATCCGGTTTATTCCCTTAATTATATTCTAACAATCCGGTTTCAACACGATTTGACATTTTGCACCTGAATCGGTTGAATTATAATACCCTCGAGTCTAAACCGGTTTGGTGTTGGTTGAAATTCAGTCTACGATCTCAGTAATGAAATCCAAAGCAGTTACAATCGGGAAGAAGCTGAACCGAAGCTATAACTATGTATATCCAAGACCGGTTTGGACTCATACTGTTCACTTATATAGGTATGTAAGTCCCGGTTTGGTTGAAATTTGGCTATGTTTGAACCGGTCCTTGACCCATTAGAATCAGTATAGTATCGAATCATATGAATAGAAATTTAGTTAGAAGTAGGATTATACCAGGTGGATGAAATCTCTAGCGGCTATGGCGAGAATATCAGAGCAAGAGACACGAGAAGGGCAATGAGACTCAACCAATGCTTTAGCCTTGATGATACTCTCAAATCCTTCTTCTCTCAATTCCTTATTCTCCTCTGCGTCTCTTTCTGCTAATCTCTTGCTTCCTTTCTCTGTTTCAATCAATATCGACCCATCACAACCCTTCAAAAATCCAAATTTGAACTCGTTATTAATTTTTTTATTTAACTAAGTCCATAATTTATTAGTTTGCATGCATGTGATGATGTGCAATCAAACAGCACACACTGACAAATATTTTTTTTCAACTGACAAAGATACTCTTGAGTTTGTAGCTAAAATAAGCTACATTGGAAACCAAACCGATGAAAGTTTTTTTGGTCGGGTTATTTTCCTTTTTTTCTTATAACTAAAACTACAAAATCAATTTTAATATAGTAGAAACCATTTACCACAACATGCATTTTAGCATTACTAATTGGAATGCGTAAGAAGGAAAATGCAAGATTCAATAATTCGGATTAAATAGAATGGTTTTAAACAAAAGATTTTGACCTCAACGAAGCAGTCATGGAAGAAGAGGCGGATGGTAGCGGGAGCGGAGATGGGCACTTCTTTGAACCGCTGAGAAGTGATGGAACCGACGAGATTTTCGAGCTGAGGACATGTCTTGGAGTAGTAGTCGCCGGAGAGCTCTCTATGTTGGCGACGCCGCGGTGCGGGAGGCTGAGAAGTTGTTGGTTCCGCCGCAGAAATGGGAATGGTTGAAGTGAGGAAGAGAAAGAGGAATATTGAAGAGGAAGAAAGAGATAACACATGCATGGTGGGGTTTTGGCCTTGTGGGATATTGTGTGAGTCGGGACAAACTAATAAATAGTAGTTTACAGTTAAGTACCAAGTCAAAGCTGATAAAAATGACAAACAAATTTGATATCTTTATAAATATCAGATGTTTGTGAAAACAAAATGAGAGTGATAGTAGACTTTGGTGTTTGCCTTTTATGTGTAAGCAAATGGGTTACAGTCTCTATTGTACTATCTAAATATTAACTCAAAATGTGGAAGCAATCATGGCTTATTAACTTTACATATCTTTTGACTTTTGAGTAGAATGCGTAATAATGTGTTCCTGTGAGGCTGTGAGCATTATACAATATCAAATGGATTACTTATATGTTTTGGTCATTTGGTCACCATATAACAAATGGTAAGAAAAATCCTGATTTTTAGAGAAAACTCATTTTGTTCAAACTTAAATTTAATTTAGTGTTTTCAATCTAGTAATTTTGCCAGAACATATGACCAGCAGCATCAATAATAAACTTACCTTAATAATAATAAAAAGTCAATATCTAAAATGTGTTAAAGTTCATAACTGTTACTGAAGACTGATAGGGTCACATGAACATGTTAGAAGATTCCAAATACTCACGGGCGAACGAAACAAAACATTGTGGCAAAGATTCTGCTTTAACTATTCTAACATTGTGATTAAATCAACTTTGTTTTGTTATTAATAATGCTACTAGATCTAAAACCTCTGCAAAACCGACACTTTTTTTAACTCTTGCAAATTAAACATTTTTTTGTTATGTTAAACCTTCCTAATATTTTTACTCACTTCCACCACTCAAGTCTAATGTTACGCCATTACGATACAAAGTTGTCTCATTGGACTCTAGACCGGCCCATTTCATTTGGTCCAGAAAGAGCTTTATTATTCTGGACCTGGCGAAATTAATAAAATCCGCTTCAACCGGTCGGACCGACGACATATCCGGTTAGGGTCCTAAAACAAATGTAACGAAACGACGACACGTAGCAACTGAGATTCCAGAGATAGTGGACCTTTTGGTTATTAGTTCGAATAGATCTGGTAGCACACAATGTGTTCGACAAAATTCCTCTCAGAGCTCCTGAGAAGTTACTCATTCTAATTTCTTCGAATTTCACCGTCTTCCTACAATGAAAATGAGAAGAATCATCGGTTCTCTTTCGAGTCTCGCTACAGAGAAGCTCTCTTCGTCTTCTTCTTCTTATTCCCGTTGCCAATCTAGACAAATCTTCTCTGCGTGTTCGTCTTCTTCGCAACGAAATGCCGGAAGCAAGCTCTCTGAAGCGTTACCGGGTAATCGCATCAAATGGGCTTCACTTGGTTCAGTCAGAAATTCGCAGTTCGCATCTGGGTTCACACCGTTGAAGCCGAAACCTTTGGATTCGATCATGGATTTGAATAGAGCCAAGTCTAAATCCCCGGAGGAGCTCACTTCTGCTTGGGACGATGTAATTTTAACCCTCTCTGCTCTCAAAATCCCGTCTTTCAATTGCTTTTCGTTAACAATTTCTTTTTACTCAATTGTCAGTATCATTTGGGACGAGGTCATATTGGGATAACGATGAAAGCTAAGCTTTATCGATTGCTTGAGCAACGAGCATCCGAGTGGTAATAATAACATCATTAGCCTTGTTCTTGTTCATAACGAATCATTCTTCTTTTAATTTCTTTGGAATGTTTCGTCTTGATTTGATCTTCTTCTAATTGATGTTGCAATTGCAGCCGATACTTTGTCATTCCATTGTGGAGAGGAAATGGTTACGTTACAATGTTTGCTCAAGGTTCGTTGTAGCTTTAGTGATGTTAGCAATGGTTGAGATGCATTTTTACTCAAAAACACTGATTAGTGAGGACAAATATTAGCAAACTACTAATCTTTATATGTGAGGCTGAATCTTGTTAGATGTAGCATTGAATCTATGAACTTCTCGGTTTATCATCTTATGTAAATTGTTTGTCAATTTGATTGTGGCAGTTGAAGCGCCTCACATGATTTTCACTGGCCTAGAAGACTACAAAGCAAGAGGAACTCAAGCGGCTCCGTACCTGACTACCACCTTCTACACTGAGCTCGTAGAGACAAATGACTTGGTGCTTATCCGAGGAGATGTTGTGTTCACAAGCAAACTCACCGACGAGGAAGCGAAATGGCTCATGGAGACGGCTCAGTCGTTTTACTTGAACGACTCTCGGTACAAGCTGCTCGAGCGGTTCAATAAGCAGACTCAAGACTTTGAGTTCAAGGATGTGTTACAAGCTCTGGATATGCCTATTCTATGATTTGCTAAAATCTGCAAAGAAAGCTCTGATTTTTGGAGTTCTTGAGACAACTTGTATTAGAATTGCTTTCTCTTTAGTCATCTTTGTGAGAGAATTAAAAAATTGAGAGATTTTGCTCTTAAAATAAACAATTTTGGGTGAAGAATAAACATCAGGGGTGAATTTGAAAGAAACGATAATTTCAGGGGGCATTTCCCAAATTTCACATAAACGAAACGACATCGGTTTGGAAGATTGGCCGCCCAACAACATAACATAAAGCTCCTCTTGCTCGCTCGTCTTCTTCAAGCTAACGAAAGTCGTCAAAACAAAATCATCCCCGAGACTATCTCTCTTCATCCTTCTACACTCAAAACACCATGTATGGTCTTCTCTTCTTCTTCATCTTTCTCCCGCCTTTTTCGAATTATGTGTATAGAGACTTGATTACATCTGTTTCCCCCAATTCGAACTATGTGTAATTGTAAATACTCATCTGCTTCGGTTTTCTCACTCTCAGCTTCTTCCTCAGTCCTCCGCAATGTCAGAGCACCAGTCCGAAGAAGTCCAGCAAATCGAGAAGCTCTACGAGTTCAGCGAGCGACTCAATGCTTCCAAGGATAAGTCTCAGGTTCGCCTTTCCATCTAGGGTTTTGAAATCGAGCATTCTCTGTTTCCTCTCCGATTTGTGTATTCTAAGAGTTGGAAATTGATTCGTATTACTCTGGTCATTAAAATTGGTTATCAGCTTCTTAATTTCCTTTGTGCCAATTTTCCAGATTTTGAACACTTTTACCTGATTTCGTTTTCCGTTTGCAGAATGTTGAGGACTATGAGGGGATTATTAAGATGTCGAAGACGAGTATGAAGGCAAAGCAGCTTGCGTCGCAGCTAATTCCACGCTACTTCAAGTTCTTCCCTAGTCTCTCCACTGATGCTTTCAATGCGCATATGGACTGCATCGATGATGGAGATCTCGGGGTCTATATTCTTGTCTTCTTAGCTCATACATACGTGATGAATCAAATTAGTTTGCAGTGCTCAAACTTAGCCTCTTACTGGAATTACACTGAAAACATAGTTCTTGTTGATATACGTATTTGAGATGAAGCAGGACTTTGTATTTCTGATGTTTGTGGAGCTGTTCTTTGCTCTGAGTTACGCATTTGTTCCGTTTTATGTGTAGGTACGTGTTCAAGCCATCCGCGGGCTCCCACTGTTCTGCAAGGATACACCTGATATTATATCAAAGATTGTTGATGTTCTTGTGCAACTTTTGAATACTGGTAACTCTTGAGATTTTGGTTATTACTTACTACACCTTTATATAAATATTTGCGTCTTTCACAATCTAACTTAAGAGGTAACATGATCTGAAGAGGAATCTGTGGAGCGTGATGCTGTGCATAAGGCTCTCATGTCGTTGTTACGGCAGGATCCAAAAGGTAGTGTGATTTATTTACAATTGTTCTGTATGAATATGTTAATTCTTCTTTAAAATTATGAAGTTACCATGAGAAATTTAGTAAATATGATTTTTAAAGCTTATGGTTAATGTACTCAGTTGCTCATGCATAGGTTTAAGTGAATAACTTATTTGCTATGGGCTGTAGTGTGCTTAATTATCTTGAATATACTATATGATTTCGCTTTTGACTCATTGGTATCTGCAATCCCGCAGTGTTTTCATGTCTTTCTCTAATTATTACTCGTTTGATACAGTATCTTTAACTGCGTTATTTACGCATGCTGGGGTTACTCCTACTGATGATCAAATTCGTGAAAAGGTCTTGAACTTCGTCAAAGATAAGGTTAGAGTTTTTCTATGTATTGTTCTTATTTTCAACTTTCAAGGTTCTAAAAACAGTGTTATGCGACTATTTCTGTTAATGTTCATATTTCATTTTCTCCCACCAAGGTAGACTTATTGGGATCTTTCTCTTGTAAATTTAGACTAGTAAAGTAGACTTTCATCGTGTATTTCGATACCTTTGCTCACTTTTTAAGAGAAGATACAAAATACTCTAAGCAACCAACTAGAGAGGGTACTGGTGCTGATAGATAATGCATATTTAGTCAAGTCTCCTCCTATTTGACATTGTTTATGATTCAGAGATGTTTCCGCAAAGGAAGCTATATGAAAAAAATGATAAATCTGTAGATATATATTATGAAAATGATATGAAAACTGTGATAATGGGCTTCATTGTATCAGAAATGACAATCCTTAAAGAGAGATTTAGAAAACGTTAGCTTATAATTCATTTTTCTGTAGGTGTTTCCTGTTAAAGGGGAACTCTTAAAGCCTCAAGAGGTAATGGAAAGACATATAACAGATTTGATTAAACAGGTAAGACCACAATCTTGTGTGTGCGCTGTTTTTTCTATATCTTCCATCTCTCCTGTTTCTTTGCCATTTATCCTGACTTTATTTGTATTTTTCCAGAGCCTAGAAGATGTAACTGGAGGAGAATTCCAAATGTTTATGGATTTCTTGACAAGTTTAAGTATATTTGGAGGGAAAGCTCCTAAAGAAAGAATGCAAGAACTTGTGGAAATTATTGAAGGACAAGCGGATTTGAATGCACAATTTAATGTAAGTTTGTTGTGTTGCATCATCCTGAAAATGAACTTAAAAATCTTGTTTGCATAAAATGATAGTACTACTTATACTCCATTGTATCAATAACTTTCCTTCTTCTTGTCAGCTGTTTATCGATATTTTTAATTTATCCCTTCGACATGTTCTATGACAGTAGATTTTGGTCGTCGTCCTTGGACAAGTTTCTTCCTTTTGACTAGAAGCTTACAAAGATGTACCGCTGTCTGAATTGTTTCTCTTTAGTGATTATTTGTCCTTGAACTCCATTATATTATCCAGTCCTGGAGTGAATGCAAGGAATTGCCCAAAATTGTCATAATGATAGTGTTACCCTAGATAAAGAATTCTACAAACTTGATTGCGCCTGCTCTGATTACCATGAGATCACTGAGTCTTAGATTTTTCTGTCCCATATGGTAATTATAATGGTTGAAAGAATGAGATTGTGATGTATATGGGATTATCTTTGTGTTGTAGTACGACTCCTGATTGCAGACATTATTTTTCCAGGTTTTGGATTCAGACCATATCGACAGGTTTATATCATGCCTGCAACTAGCTCTTCCATTTTTCGCGGTAATAACTCTGAACTGTAGAGTCCATACTAATGGAGATTTCTTGTTATCTTTCTAACTTTGTCTTCTATTGATCAGAGAGGTGCTCCAAGCAGCAGGTTTCTCAGCTATTTGAACACACATATCATGCCTGTTTTTGACAAGGTATCCTGGATTTTCATTGCCTAGTAGTTATTTTAATATTTATGTTTCGGTGTATTTTTATCTGTACATGATCAATGTGTGCTTTTCTAGACATTTGTGATCTACTACTCTCTTAGACATACTAAAGAATAGCTTATGTCACTAAGTATATGAAGTAAAATCCGTGCTTTTATTTCATTCATGTGTAGGTATTTCTGCTTGTTATTCGTTTGCCTTCTTGCATGTTAATATGCCTATCACTCCAGAAGAGGGGCTTTCTTGGGTACCATAATCTAATACCAATTTCTTTTATAATTAGCTCCCGGGAGAGAGGAAGCTTGATCTGCTCAAAGCTCTGGCTGACATTTCTCCATACACAACCGCTCAAGAGGCAAGGCAGATGCTTCCTTCAATGGTTGATCTTTTAAAGGTAATTCGTTAAGTGCCATTATTCTTCTTCTGCCCATAGATTTCAGTATGTCATGATTTCTTTGACAAATAATCTGTAAACATTTTTGGTTTTCTTTATTATTTCGCTGTTGTATATCTACTACAGCCTTTCTTATGAAGATTGTTACACTCTTTGTTCTTAGAAATACATGCCTGCCAAGAAGACTGGAGAGGAAATGAAGTACACATACGTGGAGTGTTTGTTGTACGCGTTTCATCACTTGGCCCACAAGGTTGCCAACAACCTTATTTGTGATTTATCTCTTTCTCTTTTCTTCTTCCTTGTTTTGCTTATTTGGTTATGTTGAACATATATAGGTCCCAAATGCCACAAACAGCTTGTGTGGGTACAAGATTGTGACCGGCCAGCCATCAGACAGACTGGGGGAAGACTTCTCAGAGTTGAACAAGGACTTCACTGAGAGGTATTGTTAATTCGTCGATACTGTTAAAAATTAATGTACATGATGGCTAGTAATATGTGATTTTTTGGGAGTAATTTGTTGTGCTAGCTACACCAAGTTAAAAAAAAAGTATCTAAATATGATGTGTGACTGTTTAGAGTTGAATTTGATTTTGGTAATCTAGATTAAGAAGAGTTATTGGTACAAACAACTTGTGATATCTTTTGATGATATCATAACGTTTTTGTTTTTGTGATTTGCCCAACCTTTGGTACAGATTGACCATCGTTGAGGATCTAACCAAGGCAATGATGAAGAAATTAACTCAGGGAATGTCTGAGCACAACAAAGCCATGTCGGCTGCTAAAACAGATGAAGAGAAAGCAAGCGTTGTGAGTACATTAACCTGTGACTCCGTTTTTCTTTGCTCGTTTTGTTTCCTTCTAAGGCTAATGCACCTTTATGGTTTTTCTTTATTTACCAGAAAACAAAGAAGCAGAGTACTACAACTGAACTTAGGACCTGTAACAACATATTGGCGATGACAAAGGTGAACATTTCAACATCTTGTCTAGTTTTTTTTTTTTTCATTTTCTGGTAACTTTGATGATGAGTAAATTAACCTTGGATGACAATTTGTGATATGAAACAGCCACTGCATGCAAAAGTGCCTTCTTTTATCGGAGATACTAATATGAACCTTTCTTGGAAAGAAGCAACAAAGCCGTTAGCCTCAACAACAGCAACAACAACAATCGGGTTTGTTGCAAAGTTTACTACTCAATCCACAATCTTGATATTGTCTTATATTTGTTTCTGATTTGCGTTGCTCGCTGATACAGGGGAAAGCGGCCTGGTAATAGCAACAATGGAAGTGGTAACAATGTTGCAGCAAAAAGGGTACGTGGTTCGGGTGGTGTGCAACAAAGCCAGCTTGTGAATAAGGCATTTGAGGGAATCGCATCGTACGGTGTTGGTAGAGGCGGTAACCGAAGTGGGGGAAGGCGTGGAGGCGGTCGAGGAGGAAGAGGACAAGGAAGAGGTCACTGGTAATAGAAAGCTTCCATGAGAGGATTTCATGACTGTGTTTCTGCTTTGGTTTGGTACTTGGTAGAGTTTCAGGACTTCTCGTATCAGAATAGATCATGTGTTTTTTTCTCTAGTCTCAGTCTCACAATGGATGGACAAACTGAATTATAACCTTTTTTTTCTTTCTATTTTATAAAAGTTTAAACAAAAACAAAATTCGAGAGCACTAGTGACTTTGAACATATAATCTTGACCATCGAGTCCTCAGCTTCATGAGATGAGCGACCTATCTCCTTGACAAATAAAAAAAATGAAAATTAAAAGGCATTTTAGTCGTATGATATTACAATGAACAACCTCATGGAAATTTCGATCATTTTGGCAACTGTATACACGAGAGGCTTGACATGGAACTACTCAATCGAAGCTCTTATTCTCGTGATCGTTGGCCTTCTTACCGGTTTATACGAGATCGACTTACCCGTTCTGGATCTGTGTATTGGCCTTTGCTATGTACTTCTTCTCTCTTCTCCTTATCTATCTTCTCCGTTTTCATTTTCTAGACAAGAACTAAGTTTGCACCTTTAAGTGAGACTTATAGACTAATTGTTCCATGCCGTTACGCTGCATGTTTGTGAGCTCATGTTTGAAGTGATGCAGTTCATACTATTTGTTTGTTTCCCACAAGTGTCAAAAAGATGTTTGTTTCCTACAAGTGTCAAAAATACGTACGCTTGGAGATAAGCAACTTAATTTTCTTATGTTATTAGTTAATTTAGAGAGAAAAAGTATCAAATTGATTGTTTTGAGAATGAAAACACGTGGTTTTGGCAAATTTCACTCGGAAGACTCAAATCTTATTGGCCTAAACAACTGACTGTCCGCTGCAAACATTTATAAATCATATACAAGTAAGCTGATCCGGCAGCAATATCTCAGTATCTTTTTATAAAATTCAAATTTATGCAATCTAAACAACTTGGCTGTACGCTTACATAAGTCCAATAATGCTAGAACTTGAATGAAGTGCACAACAGTTTATTTAAATTTAGACTGGATGGGGTCAAATTAGTTCAGCTCCGAATTCCAAAGTACATCGTATTTATCAACACAAATAATAAAATATGTAGAGCAGAGAGCATAAACCAGCTAATCCTCGTGTCTACTGTATACCAACTGTTCATGACCCATATAAAATTAACCCATTAGAGCCATACTAGGCGAGGAGGTACCATCAAAGTTATAAAAATCTATTCAATAATGTCAGAATTTTTCAAAATTTTGATTTAACTTAATGATGGAAACAGCAAGTCCAATGTCTTGATGAATGTCTTGTGATAAGAAAAAATGGGGATAGATCAGGAAAAAAATAAGAATTATGAAGACAAAGCTCATTGGATGCTTTCTTGTTGTGCTGAGTAGAGGATTCGTGAAGATTCAGACTCAACCTCACATATTCTTGGCCATTGTGCATGTGGTTAAATTTTTAAGTTGGAAAGTATGAGCCTATGAGAGATATTAGTAAAAATGCTAACTGATTTTGTATTTGGTCATTTTGTATATCTGTTTTTCTTTTTTAAATCAATTAACTTGGATCAAAATATAAATTATAAAATGGTGTTTGCAGATCTCAGTTATATAAGCCACCAGACTTTAGTAAGAAGTAGTTGCCATTTCTGAGACTGATCTTGTTTGTTCTCTTGTCCTCAACCTCACTCATCACTTAACAAAACTCCAAGTAGAAAACTTCCCCAATAGTATCTTTTGTTTTCACTATAAATCAGTTCATATGCAAACATTCTCATCCAAGAGGAGACCCATCCATCCACAATGCCCATCTACTCTCTTCTTCTTCTTTCTCTCTTTAGCTCTGATCATCTCTGGTGTGAGCTCTCGTGTCCTGAGTCCTGTCCCTCTGAATGACTCCATCTTGATCTCTGATGGTGTCCATGATGCCTTGGATTACAAGTTTCTCACTCTTGACCCTCCAAAGAACGTCTCCAAGGCAGCTTGTGATCATGTCTACGGGTTTCTTCCATGTGCAGACAATCTTGGAGGTTACGTCTTCCAAGTTTTCTCTTTTGGCTGTCTCTTGATCATCGGTGACTATTTCATGTCTGAAGGAAGATCAAAACTCTTTGTAATCTTTGAGGTCGGTTTCTATGGCGGTATCGTCTTCCCTCTTCTTACAATGTTCCCAAGAATTGTCCTTATGCTCTGTAAGTATCCTCTGTTTCTTTGGCTCACACTTACCAATCATCTGAAATATTTTATAGCATTATATTACTGATTACTGTACTAAGTACTTTATTTATTTATTTTTGATCTTAGCGCCTGGACTATCAGCGACACACGATGGTGCTCTCTTGATTGTTGGTAACAATGTTGGAGTTACTGTAGGACATACAGTTTTTGCTTTGACAATGCAGTGGGGAGCTTGTGTTGTCTTTGGTTTGACTGGTCCTAATGCAGACCAGTCAAGCCGGAGAGGAGCCGTCAAAAGAACAACCTCTGTAAGATAAGATTATTTTGTTACAGTTTGTTGATGAAAGATTAATAATCACTTCTCATTTCAGTGAACAATCTCTGTAAATATAATGCAGGATACGAAGAATCCAAGAAGAGGATTTTACAGGATGAAGATACTTAAAAGTGTTGTTGGTATGTTTAAGAAGACTTTCAGATTGCTTCTTTACTCTTTTGTGTGAAGTCTGTTTTTGATTTTTACGGTTTCTCTCTCTCTCTCCCTCTCTCTCTCTGCAGAAGCAAGCGTAGACGCGGATCCTAAGAACAAGAAAGCTGCAGGGGTTATGCTTTTGACTCTAGTTCCATTTTTCATGGTGACATTGCCTGATTTACTTGATGCACAATCTTGGAGTGACATCACTATCTTGATCACACTCATTATCACCTGTTCTTCAACCTTTATCTACTTTGTTTATTCGGTATGAGCTCTATGAAACAAGAAGTAAAAATATATGATTACTACTTTTTTTCTTTGTTGTCTTACCGGTGAATCTTGTTTTGTGGAAACTTGCAGTATTTTGATACGGCAGATCAAAAGAAGAGCTTAGATCACGCCAAGTTTGAGCTCATGTCCGAAGTTCATAAGCATTTGCAGAGCTTCTCTCCTCGAAGCCTTATTAGAGATGGACAACTAAGTAAAGAGAGCTTGAAAAGGTTCCATTTCAAGAACTATTTAATTCTGTTTTGTGCTAATCAAGAACTATTATCATTTTGTTCTGTTTTGTGTTTGCTTACTTTGAAAATTTACTGCTTGTGTGTTTTCGTAGTTTGTTCGATAAGATCGATAGGAATAAAGATGGGAAGATTCAGATCTCAGAGCTTAAAGACCTAACCGTAGAGTTTGGAGTATTTGGAAGAATGAAATGTGACATCAATGAGTTTGCAAACACTTTACTTGCGGATTTCGACAAAGACAAAGATGGAGAACTAGACGAGGACGAATTCGAAGAAGGGATTATGAAACTACTGAACCAATACAAATTCGACAACCCAGAAACTAGACAGAACAACACTTACATTTACAGAACAACATCCGATTCCGTGCACGTCAAGAATCAGTCTCAGGGAGATGAAGCTGGTGTTTTAAAGCTTGAAATGCCAAAGCAGACTCTTGTTTGTAAATTCCTCTGTTTAAGAACACTGAGAGCTGTGATTAAAGTCGTCGGCGGGATGACGATCGTCATCTTTCTTGCTAAACCGTTTATGATGAACATTGGACTCTTATCGGTTTCAGCTGGAGTTCCTTCTTTCTACTCTGTGTTTGCAGTAATCCCTTTGGTTAGAAACTTGAAGAACACGTTATCTGCACATTTCTGTCGTAAGAAAGACAAGGCAAGGATCGCGTCTGAGAAATTCTCTGAGGTTAGTTAGTTTATTTACTTTACCATGCTTCTTCTTACCACACTGCAATGATGAAAAAACTTGAAAGTTTTAGAGCTTTTTGTGCAGATTTACAAGGATGTTACAATGAACAATCTCATGGGAATGTCGATAACATTGGCGATTGTGTACACGAGAGGATTGAAATGGGATTATTCAACAGAAGCTCTTCTTGCTGTGGTTGTTGGTCTTGCCATTGGCTTACCTGCTTACGTGAGATCCACGTATCCGTTCTGGATCTGTGTTATGGCCTTTGCTATGTATATCTCTTCTCTTGTTCTCATCTATCTCCATTTTCATCTTCGCGGTCAGATTTGAAACCTTTCAAAGAGCTAAGCTTTTTCATTTTCATATTGTGGATCAGAGCTTAATAAAGACCAAGTTCTCTTTGATTAAAACTCTGTCTGGTTCACATGTTGATGCTGGTCTTCGTTAAAACTTTCCATACTACTATAGCTTGGGACTCAAGTGAATGGTTTTAGTGTTTTACCAAGAACAACACAAAGACTTTTACTGTGTTACATTTAAGTCTTGCAACGTCTTCTACAGATGGAATGTAGCACAAACTAATCGAGTTGCGGGAAATGAATTGATATATATCCAAAGCTACATAAGACAAGAGATAATCTAGTGAAAGTTTTCTAGGTAAAATTTCTATAACTTAAGGCTGAGATCGATTCCATGATCGGCGGCTGATCCATATCGCTCGCAGGCTCTTTGTTCTTGAACACCACTGCACCGATCATCAGAGGGTATGAAGCTATAGAACGGCTTCTTGCTTCTCCGTTGCATACTCTCATCAAAGTCTTGTTGTTGTTGTTGTTGTTGTTGTTGTTCATACTAGAACCAAAAAAGTTTTTGGTGAAATGAATCAGACTAAGCAACTTCATAATATAGCAGAGATTATAATAAGGAGATCTCTAGTTTACCTGTAAGCTAAGTGGGATAAACATGGGGTAATGACGTGGAATGGAAGCAGGTGAATCGATGGCAATGGGGTTGCAAATCGTTGTACCGGAATCTTGAACCGGACTTATCAATCTCATATCTATCGACCGGTTTGGTTTCGTTTCCCTTCACATTTCCAAATAACAACAACATCAAGAATTAGGTTTTGGTAACATCAAGAAAATGATGAGTGAAAGCCAAGAAACAAGAAGTAAACCTTGGGATGGTTTTGGTTGATCCAACGCTAGCTTTTGGCAAGTTGCATGTGAGAAAAGGCCTCTTTGCACTAACCATCTATGGAAAATCAAAAACACATTATAAAAACGTACGATTTTGTTTCTATTTATTTATGGAAATAATAATAAAAATAAAATACAAAAAACATGCCTTTTTTTCTTCCTCAAGAAACTGAGAGACATTATTATTATCGACGCAAGATCTTTGGTTTGAAGGGGGCTCTATGAATTGATAAAATCCTGGATTTGAGAGATTCATCTGCAAAATCATGAAACAAAAACAAAAATGTTAAAAAAAAATGTTTTATTATTATGTGATAAAAACAGAGAGTGTTCTGTTTTTCTCTGTTTTTACCTTCCTCTGAAAAACCGGCGCCTGAGGAATCAAATCCGTAAGGGAAGATCCGTTCGCTAGATAAGAAGAAAACGGGAAAGAAAATTTTGGAGGCATCATTAACAAATCACTTCCGCCACCAGCCGTCGCTGTTGTTCTTGCCGGTGACCGGAAAATGGGTAAAGTGGAGTAAAGCAAAGAGTCCGGCGGCGGAGGAAGCGGAGGAGGAGCAAAGAGAGTGTGATGATCGATGTTTGGTACCGAAGAAGAAGAAGAATGTGGAATGGGAAGAGACGGAGATTTGTTCTCTTCTTCTAATAAACGAATCTTCTCGAGTTCGGCGACACCTGGACCTCTACGTCGTACTTTATTATCTTTCTTCTGTTTCTTCCGACAAGAACCGGAGTAATCATCTTGTAAGTCTCCATAGCTTCCACTGCTTGTGTTACTACACATTTTTTTTTGCAGATTTTCTTTCTCTCTTTACTCTGAGAAAATTTTGGTGAAGAATTTATTTTGAAATGAAAATGATTCAAGATGTAAATCTGAGAAGAAATAGGCTGTTCTTTCGTGAGTGAGAATAGTCGTGAGAATTTAAAGAAAATTCAAAGCGGCCATGTTTTTAGCTTTCTCAAGATCTCTATCTCTTTCGAAATGAACCACCTGGAGATAGAGAATCTTCATCGGTTTCCGTGATTTTCTCTTGCGGAAAATATTGTGATTCTCTTCCACCTACATATATTGTTTATTTAATCATTTCAAGTTTCGGTTTCATGACAAGTGCAAAATTTACTTAATAACCCCCATAATTGTTAAAGAATAGCACATTGACCTCTATATTTCTTAATTAAAGAAATATTCCATGTTTATCTGATTATTCGATACATCGATAGCTAATTTGTTGTAAGAGAAGGGACCTTTATGGAAAAGGTTTATAAGTAGAAAAAGAATTTTTCTAATTCAAGAAGCTGGGAAGAATCAGAACGTTAATGATTAACAGGTAAATTTGGGGAATGTTCATTATTCTGAAAATTGAAACTGTATGGTCCCATAAACAAAAGCTGGCGAAAATATAATAAGAACCCACTTGCGATATTCAGAAAATTTCCTTTCCCATGAGTTTCTTGTCTTTTACTCTTCATTTCTGTTAGAATGCTTATGACTATTTTTATAAATTTATTTATTTAGAGAAAAGAAGAAGATCAAACAATCCATATGAATGTTCTGTCATAAAGATTGTTTTCTTTGTTTGGTTTCATGATTCGGTTTGCGTATAGAGAACATTAACTGCTCTCCCTATGTTTAAATAAGACAGCATACGTACGCTGTGCTACAAAAATGATTGAGGTTGATAATCCCAAAGTGAATTATTCGTGTCACAAATCAACTGAAAATCTAGGTGTTGATTCGCACGTTTGAGGATCAACGGTAATACGTAAGATAATACGTAAGATTTGTCGTATACTTGTATGATTTTATGCCATCCATATTTATGAGTTCTACAATCACAAGCCCATTTTTCTTCTTTTTCATATTTTAAAATTTAAAACCATTAGTGTTATTTTTTATTTTATTAATTAGTAAATTCAAAATATCATCCAGAGAGTAGAGTATAAGAGTATTGTATACTTTGTAATATGATAATGTAAATGTAAACATAAACCGGTGTTCTAAACTCTTAGCACATCAGTAATGTTCTGAGAGATTCTCAGTTAAGACTCTTATATTGTGCGACAGAAAACTAGAGGAAATATAAAAGAAATTATCCAAACAAATTGAAAAGAAAAAAAAAGAACAGAACAAGGATCAAAGATGGTCCCTCTCTACGCTTATCTCAAAAGATTTGAAGAACAGAAACAAAACAATTGCTATGAGAACTGTTGTGAAGCCAAAGTCAATGGTCCTTTTCTTTCTGGTATATTCAGGATGAAAATCTAGTGCTTCACAGTAGACCAACTCCTTAACCTCCTCCTCTGTGAATGGTTCCTCTAGATCGAAGTTGAGAGGCCTTGTGCACTCTGGTTCATTGCTAGTGTCATGCATGGATTGGAGATATGGATGAGCAAGCGCTTCTTCAACTGCCAAAAAAGGGCAAAAAATATTACAACAAGAAACCAAACAAATCAAAAGCAGTTCTTGAAAGAAAAAGGTACAAGAACTCCATAATCAAGAACTCTAAAAACTCATTTTCTTTTATATTTTTGGCATCAAGAAGCACAGGAACTAACCTGAGATTCTCTTTCTAGGGTCAAACTTTAGAATCTTCTCCATCAGGTCTATAGCTAAAGGGTGCACGTTTGGGAATTTTTCAGAGAAAGATTGGCGAGGAAGCCAAGGAAGCCACCGCAAGAATCGCTTAGCGTTTTCATTAAACGATCCAAGATCTTCTTCTGATGGACTGCCTATGAGCTGCGAAACAAAGTCAAAAACTCTCTTTAAGCTATACAAAAAAAGGTACGTTTGTGAGAAGAAAAAAAATAAAGAGGTTTTACTTTACTACCTCCATAACCAAATCAAACTGTTGAGTATGATTTTCACTTGGGAAGAGCGGTTTGCGGTTCATCATTTCCAAGAAAATGCAGCCAACGGACCAAACATCTATCGCTGTGGTATAAGGAGAAGAGTGTAACAGAAGCTCGGGTGCACGGTACCATCTTGTGACAACGTACTCAGGCATCTCAGGATCAAGAACCTCGGCAATGTCACGAGGAAGCCCGAAATCACAGATCTTTAAGTCACATTTTACATTCACGAGGAGATTTCTTGGATTTAAATCTCTATGTAACACATTGGCCGAATGAATGTACTTTAATCCACGCAGGATTTGGTACAAGAAATACTGCGGAAGAAAAGGGAAACTGAACATTCTCAAGCTTTAATATTATATCAAATGATTTTAAGTTTCAAGAAACATTTTCAGAGTCAAACCTTGCAATGATCTTCGACTAGTACTACTTGGTCGGATCGATCTTATGACTTGATGAAGGTCAGTGGGCATCAATTCATATGCAATATAAACATCTTCAAAAGCGTTTCTCTTAGGAGGCAATATTATGTCTTTGATTCCAATAATCTATGGAAAATGGTAGTACTGAATTAGCTTTTAATGCTAGTAAGAAAAAAAAAAAGCTTGAGAGAATAGTGAAGAAATCAAACAAACATTTTCGTGGTTCAAGTGACGAAGAAGCTTGATTTCACGGAGAGTTCCCTTTCCATTGTATTTGTCACCAAATGCGTACGCAATTTTCTTTATTGCAACCTCCTCTTTGGTTTCCGAGTTCCTAACCGAACTGTATTAAAAAAAAAAAAATGTCTCAATGAACTTCGACTAAAAGAACACAACGGTCATAACTGGTCTATCATTATTTATTTCCGTCTAAACATAAGGTATATCATTTTCAATTAGTTTTTAATATTAAACCTATTCATCGAATTTTCATGTTTTCATGTTTTTTTCTTAAGTGATATCGCTATAAAAAAAAGTTGGGAAATTTCTCATAATGGAAGAACTTTATACAAAAACATGCATAACAAAGGTTATGGGTTTTTCAGGAATCAGGATTGAAACTTTACAAAACCCAATCAGAAAATTTACAAAACAATACAGAAAAAAAAAGTAAAAATAATGTGAAAAAAGGAATTACCAAACGAAGCCAGAAGAACCTATGCCAATAGCCGTCATGGGTGGCTTATACTTTGTAGTAACTTCAAATATATGCCCATATATATTGTATTGTCGATACCTGCTGTCATGGGTGAGAGCCGAAATATTATCAGTCGCGACCTTTTCAGGTGAATGATACTGTATAGTCTGCATAGCGTCAGTAGTAACTTCTCTGTAATTTTCCACCGCCTCAGCAAGTCAGCATCATTAGCTGGTTCCATGACTACTCGAATTCTTACCATTTATCAAAAAGTAAAATTTCGCTGGTAATGTTTTGATATCTCTCACAACCTTAACTCTTCATTTTGAAAGAAATGTTATTTGTTTTTTTTTGTTCTTGTTGTTGTTGTTGAGTTAGTTTTAGTCTATGAGGGAAGCATATATAGTGAGTGACTATATGATGCTAACATTAAACTCATGAAGATATCAAATGATATGATTTTTGCTGGATTTGATGTTGTTGCCAGTTCATTTTTCCTTACATAAAATAAAATTAACATACTGTAGTTCATGTCTCCACATGAATTTTATGACTAATCATTTGTATAACAATATCCAAATAAGAAAATTATTTCATAGATAAGAACGATTTTCCTCCGTTCATTTGTATAACAATATCTCACTAAAAACTGAAACTATAGATATGGTTGGAGCAAACTTTTTGAGATACCAATTCAACAACGACACTTAAATTAATAAGAAGGAAATAAAATTATAGGTAAAAACGATCTTTCACCGTTCATTTGTATAACAATATCTTAGTAAAAATCTAATCTTATAGATATGGTTAGGAGGTAATTTTTTTTGACATACCAATTCAACAACGACACATGGATTAGTAAGAAAATAAAATCATAGTTAAAGAAGTTGTTCAATTGAGAAGCTGTTCTTATTTTAACGAGAACAGCTTCTCAAAAATTAAAGAAGTTTTTCCACAGTTCATTTGTATAATGAGAAGCTGTCATTAAAATAAGAACAGAAGCTTTTCCACAGTTCATTTGTATAACAATATTTCAGTGAAAATATAAACATATCTAGAGGTAATTCAAACTCCAACAAATACAAACTCCAAATATGACACTTGTGTTCCTCTTTCTCTCACTTTTATCAAAAACCAAAACTACAAAGCCCACGCGCCTGATACATGCGTAAGTTGATATGCTTCCTTTTGGTGCTCTAAAGTTTGGATCTCAATCAAGCTCCAAACCGTATTGCACGAAAGACTTCACTAACTCTTCTTCTACTTGAGACCTTCCGACTCATAAGGAGTATATAAGTTGTTATCTTCACTAACCAAATAAACCAAACAGTTTGACGATAACTCGAATTAGGATCTCATGTATTGTTATTTGTTGGATTGGAATTTTCAGTAATCAATCAGGATTTTCCAGTTTATTTGGTTAAAAATTGAAGTTGACAACAACCAAAAAAAAAAGAGAAAATACTTTTACTGGCAATCTAGCAGAAAATCTTAATGTTCTGAAACATTCTCAGTTCTAAAAGACTCATAAGCTGCGACAGAAAACAAACTGAAAAGAAAAGAAAAGAAAAAAAAAAACAAAACAGAACAAGGATCAAAGATGATCCCTCTCTAACTCTAAGCATCATCTCTCAAAAGATCTAAAGGACAGAAACAGAATGACTGTTTTGAGAACTGTTGTGAAGCCAAAGTCAATCTTCCTCTTCTTGCTAGTTAAATTCTAGATAAATAGTAGATTATCTCCTTAATCTCCTCCACTGTTAATGGTTGCTCTAGATCGGCGTTGAAGGGCGTTGTGCACTCTGGTTCATCGTTGATGTCACGCATCGTTTCCAGATATGGATGAGCAAGCGCTTCTTCAACTGCGGAAAGGGACAAAAAAAGATTACGACAAGAAACCAAACAAATCAAAAGCAGTTCTTGAAAGAAAAAGGTTACAAGAACTCCAGAATCAAGAACTCCAAAACAAACCAATTCGTTTATAAGTCTGGCATCAAGAAGCACAAGAACTAACCTGAGATTCTCTGTTGAGGGTCAAACTTGAGAATCTTCTCCATCAGGTCTATAGGTAAAGGGTGCACATTTGGGAATTTTTCAGAGAAAGATTGGCGAGGAAAGGAAGGAAGCTCCCGCAAGCATCGCTTGTCGTTTTCACCAAATGAAGCAAGATCTTCCTCTGATGGACTGCCTATGAGCTGCAAAACAAAGTCCAAAACGTTTTTTAAGCTACAAAAACAAAAAAGAGACACTCTTTCGGAAACACAAATGGTTTTTACTTTAATACCTCCATAACTAAACGAAGCTGGTGAAGACGATCTCTACCGGGGAAGAGCGGTTTGCGGTTCACCAACTCCAAGAAAATACAACCAACGGACCAAACATCTATCGCTGTTGTGTAAGAAGAAGACTTTAACAGAAGCTCGGGTGCACGGTACCATCTTGTGACAACGTGCTCACTCATTACATGATCCTCGGGCATGAAACGAGCAAGCCCGAAATCACATATCTTTAAGTCACAGTTTGTATCCACAAGGAGATTCCTGGGTTTTAAATCTCTATGTATCACGTTAGCCGAATGAATGTACTTTAATCCACGCAGGATTTGGTACAAGAGATTCTGCGAGAGAAAAAAAAGGGAAAGTGAACATTCTCTCATCAAATGATTTTTTAAGTTTCAAGAAACATTTTTCAGAGTCGAACCTGGTAATGATCTTCGACTAGTTCACCTTTGGATCTTATGACTTGATGAAGGTCACCGCGCATCAATTCATATGCAATGTAAACTTCATTTTCAAAAGCATTTCTCTGAGGAGGCAGTATTACGTCTTTGATCTCGATAACCTATGGAAATTGGTAGCACTTAATTAGCTTTTGATGCGTTTAATAAAATAAAATAAAAAATCTTGAGAGAATAGTGAAGAAATCAAACTAACATTTTCGTGACACAAGTGAGCAAGAATCATGATTTCACGGAGAATTTTCTTTGCATTGTCTTCGTTATCAAATGCATGGGCGATTTTCTTTATAGCTACGTTCTCTCCAGTCTCCGAGTTCATAACCGAGCTGTAGAAAATAAAATTAATGTGTCAATTATCTTCAACTAGAAGAATACAAAGATCATAAAAAAAAGTAGTATATAATTTCTCCACTGGTTTTTACTATATATAAAAAAAATCATCAAATTTTCAAGTTTTTACGTATTTTTGATAGTGATATCGCTATACATAAAGCATGCATGCATATATTTAAAACATTTGGGAAATTTCTCAAAAAAAAAATCCGGATTGAAACTTTTCAAAACCCAATCCGAAAACTCACGAACAGTAACAGAGAACGGTAAAAATAATGTGAAAAGGGGATTACCAAACGAAGCCATAAGCACCTTCGCCAATAGCCGTCATCGGTGGCTTATACTTTTCAGGAAGCTCAAATATATGGCGGCCTATTTCGTATTGTATAAACCTGACATCATGGGTGGGAGCCGGAATATTCTCAATCGTGAGCATTCCAGGTGACTGATTCGGCAAAACATCAGTAGTAACTTCTCCGTGAGTTTCCACCGCCTCAGCATCATTGGCTGGTTCCATGACCACTCGAATTCTTACACTTTAAAACAAAAAGTAAAGTTTGGCTGGTAATTTTTGGTTTCTCTCACAACCTTGAACTTTTCATTTTGAAAGAAATGATATTTGTTTTGTTTGTTTTTGTTGGGCTAGTAGTAGCTCGAGAGGGATGCATATATACTGAGTGACTATGTCAGTATTAATGTTTAGCATTAAACTCATGAATGACTCAATTATATGATTTTTGCTAAAATTTAATATTTGCAAATTATAAATTTATGGAGATGTTGCTGCCAGTTCATGTTTTCCTTACATTTTCAAAAATTTGCTATATTTCATGTATCCAGAACGATTCCAGTAAGAAAATAAAATTTATTTCTAAATATAATTAGAGGTAAATTTGAAATACCAATTCAACAAGGACACGTAGTGAAGTAAGAAGATAAGATTATAGGTAAAGGTGATTTTCCACCGTACATTTGTATAACAATATCTCGGTGAAAATAGAAACTTAAAGATATGGTTGGGGTAACTTTTGACATACCAATTCAACAACGACGCGTGGATTAATAAGAAGGAAATAAAATTATAGGTAAAAACAATCTTACACCGTTCATTTGTATAACAATATCTTAGTGAAAATCTAATCTTATAGATCTGGGGGATGATTGGTAGGAGTTGTGGTTGAGAGGTAATTTTTTGACATACCAAATCAACAACAACTTGTGGATTATTAAGAAAATAAAATCATAGTTAAAAGAAGATTTTTCACCGTTCATTTGTATAAAAATATCTCAGTAAAAATATAAACTTAAAGATATGGTTAGAGGTAATTCAAACTCCAACAAATACAATTTCCAAATATGACACTTGTGTTCCTCTTTCTCTCACTTTTATCAAGAACCAAAACTACAAGACAAGCCCACGCGCCTGATACATGTGTAAGTTGATATGCTTCCTTTTGGTGCTCTAAAGTTTGGATCTCAATTAAGCTCCAAACCGTATTGCACGAAAGACTTCACTAACTCTTCACTAACCAAACAAACCAAACAGTTTGACGATAACTCAAAATTAGGATCTCATGTATTGTTATTTGTTGGATTGCAATTTGCAGTAAACAATCAGAATTTCCAGTTTATTTGCTTAAAAATTGAAGTTGACATATACCAAAAAAAAAAAGAAAAAAAAAGAAATAAAAAAAAAAGAGAAAATACTTTTACTGGCAATCTAGCAGAAAATCTTAATGTTCTGAAACATTCTCACTTCTAAAAGACTCATAAGCTGCGACAGAAAACAAACTGAAAAGAAAAGAAAAGAAAAAAAAAAAACAGAACAAGGATCAAAGATGATCCCTCTCTAAGCATCATCTCTCAAAAGATCTAAAGGACAGAAACAGAATGACTGTTTTGAGAACTGTTGTGAAGCCAAAGTCAATCTTCCTCTTCTTGCTGGTTAAATTCTAGAGATAAATAGTAGATTATCTCCTTAATCTCCTCCGCTGTGAATGGTTGCTCTGGATCGAAGTCGAAGGGCGTTATGCACTCGGGTTCATCGTTGATGTCATGCAACGTTTCCAGATATGGATGAGCTAGCGCTTCTTCAACTGCGAGAAAGGGACAAAAAAATATTACGACAAGAAACCAAACAAATTAAAAGCAGTTCTTGAAAGAAAAGGTTACAAGAACTCCAGAATCAAGAACTTCAAAACAAACCAATTCGTTTATTCTGGCATCAAGAAGCAAGCACAAGAACTAACTGAGATTCTCTGTTGAGGATCAAACTTGAGAATCTTCTCCATCAGGTCTATAGCTAAAGGGTGCACATTTGGGAATTTTTCAGAGAAAGATTGGCGAGGAAAGGAAGGAAGCTCCCGCAAGCATCGCTTGTCGTTTTCACCAAATGAAGCAAGATCTTCCTCTGATGGAGTGCCTAGGAGCTGCAAAACAAAGTCCAAAACGTTTTTAAGGCTACAAAAAAAGAGACACTCTTTCGGAAACAAAAATGGTTTTTACTTAACTATACCTCCATAACCAGACGAAGCTGGTGAAGACGATCTCTACCGGGGAAGAGCGTTTTGCGGTTCACCAATTCCAAGAAAATACACCCAACGGACCAAACATCAATCGCTGTTGTGTAAGCAGAGGACTTTAACAGAAGCTCGGGTGCACGGTACCATCTTGTGACAACGTGCTCACTCATTTTATGATCCTCGGGCATGAAACGAGCAAGCCCGAAATCACAGATCTTTAAGTCACAGTTTCCATCCACGAGGAGATTCTTAGGTTTTAAGTCTCTATGTATCACGTTAGCCGAATGAATGTACTTTAATCCACGCAGGATTTGGTACAAGAGATACTGCAAAAAAAAAAAAAAAGGAAAATGAACATTCTAATCAAATGATTTTACGTTTCAAGAAACATTTTCAGAGTCGAACCTGGTAATGCTCTTCGACTAGCTCAGCTTTGGATGTTATGATTTGATGAAGGTCACCGGGCATCAATTCATATGCAATGTAAACATCATTTTCAAAAGCATTTCTCTGAGGAGGCAGAATTACGTCTTTGATCTCGATAATCTATGGAAATTGGTAGTACTTAATTAGCTTTTGATGCGTTTAATAAAATAAAATAAAAAATCTTGAGAGAATAGTGAAGATATCAAACTAACATTTTCGTGACTCAAGTGACAAAGAATCGCGATTTCACGGAGAGTTTTCTTTGCATTGTCTTCGTTATCAAATGCATGGGCGATTTTCTTTATAGCTACGTTCTCTCCAGTCTCCGAGTTCATTACAGAGCTGTGGAAAATAAAATTAATGTCTCAATTATCTTCAACTAGAAGAATACAAAGATCATAAAAATTAAAAAGTAGTATATAATTTCTCCACTTGTTTTTACTATATATAAAACAAAAAAGGGAAAATCATTAGATTTTCATTTTTCATTTTTTTTAATGTATTTTTAATAGTGATATCGCTATACATAACGCATGCATGCATATATCTATAACATTTGGGAAATTTCTCAAAAACAAAAAAAAAAAAAAAAATCAGGAATGAAACTTTACAAAACCCAATCCGAAAACTTACGAACAGTAACAGAGAAAGGTAAAAATAATGTGTAAAGGGAATTACCAAACGAGGCCATAAGCACCTCTGCCAATAGCCGTCATCGGTGGCTTATACTTTTCAGTAAGTTCGAATATATGGCCACCTATTTTGTATTGTATAAACCTGACATCATGGGTGGGAGCCGGAATATTCTCAATCGTGAGCATTTCAGGTGGCTGATTCGGCAAAGCATCGGTAGTAACTTCTCCCTGAGATTCCACCGCCTCAGCATCATTGGCTGGTTTCATGACTACTCGAATTCTTACACTTCAACAAAAAGTAAAGTTTGGCTGGTAATTTTTGGTTTCTCTCACAACCTTGAACTTTTCATTTTGAAAGAAAGGATATGTGTTTTGCTTGTTTTTGTTGTGCTAGTAGTAGTCTAAGAGGGATGCATATATAGGGGGAGTGACTATGTGACTATTGATGTTTAGCATTAAACTCATGAATGACTCAATTATATGATTTTTGCTAACATTTAATATTTGCAAATTATAAATTTATGGAGATGTTGCTGCCAGTTCATGTTTTCCTTACATTACAAAAATTTGCTATACTCGGTCGTTGTATCCAGAACGATTCCAGTAAGAAAATAAAATAATTTAGAAATATAATTGGAGGTAAATTTGAAATACCAATTCAACAACGACACGTAGTAAAGTAAGAAGATAAGATTAGAGAATAGGTAAAAATGATTTTCCACCGTTCATTTGTATGGCAATATCTCGGTGAAAATAGAAACTTAAAGATATGGGTAGATGTAAATTTTGATATACCAATTTAACAACGACGCGTGGATTAGTAAATAGGAAAATATCTACAGTCCCAGAATACCAATTCAACAACGACGCGTGGATTAGTAAATAGGAAAAGATCCACGTCCCCATAATTCTTTTTTGGCCATTAGTAATATTAATCTCAAGGTGGAATAATATTGAGAAATACAAAAGTTAGCAGATACATAAAAAGTATTGGAGTCAAAGCCCCAAATGAAAGAAACAAAAGTTGAAAAAGATCGAAACACGAAACATAAACAGAGGCAACCCCATGTGTATACGAGACAGAGCCGACCCTAGCAAAATATATGGTCCGCAAGCTAGAAGTAATTCAAACACCTGCTTGCTTTGCTTGCATGGCCGGTTCTGATCAGAGACTAACATTAAATCCACATAGACTAACATTACCTAGTAATGTTTAGTTGCATAGATTTTTGAAGATTTGACTATATCATAAGTGTAATAATAGTATAAGGTGACCATCATCGCACTTTTCGACGTATAGTATATAGATGAATAAAGCTTGATTAAGGGCCAACCACTGTTAAGTTATATCATTTGTACATTTCAGATCAATCAGATATATTACAATTAGCAAAATGAAAAATGAAAAAAAACATATAAAATTTTGACATAAATAACCATTAGCTATACTATACTTTCTAAGACCTTATCCGTAGTGGTAGCCATCGGCTGAGCCATTCTACGACACACAGGACAAGTTGCGTGCGATTCAAGCCACCTACCTATACATTCTTCATCAAACATGTGCATACAATTTGGTAAAACCTTGATCACGACATTCTTGGGGATTAACCCTAAGCAAACAGGACACTCTATCTCCTGATTCTTGCTCTCGGGATCGTTACTATCCGCTTTGTAAGAAAAGGTAGGAAAGGCGGCAATCACGGAAGCGCTAAGCCCTTGGCACGGTGTCTCTCTTTGGCGGCGGTGGTCGTCTTCTGTTTCCGGTGATACATCAAACCTACGGCGTTTGAGCAAACAAAGAACGAGGAGGATGAAGATAACGGAGATTGTCAAGAGAGACGTTACGGCGGCGAACCAAAGGATGATTGAGTTTAACGAAGGATCGTTGAAACCCATCTCTTTGATCTATACAAAAGAAAATGGTTCTCAAAGTTAATAGTTATACAAATCAAATTGCATATAATGACCTTTTTATATATAGATCATTGAGAGTTGACATTCTCTTTGAATATATTTGGATTAAGAGTTGAAATACGATCACCACTAATGAACTTGATAACATTATCATATCATCAGTTGAATTAAAGAAAATAATAGGGTCGTTTTGAATCGGTACACCACAAATGGGATTAGTTTAAAACATAAATTTGCTGCTTGTGGGAAGAATCTATGGTTTTTTGTTGACTAAAAAAAAATTTGAAGTTGTATAAAAAAAATAAAGGAAGCTAAATGGATAAGGGATACGTTCGAATTGAGGTGATGGTTGATTGAATTAACTATTTAAGTGTCTGAAAAGACATAATGATTAAAGAAAATCAACAATAGCTGCCATATATCCTTTATATAATTCTGTCCGGTCAGTGATTTCTCTTCTAATGCATTTGAGTTTTGCTTACAATCAGCTGTTACATGAAGATCTGTGTGTTTCATATGTATATTATATGGTAACATTCAAAGAAGTTGGTTAAGAATTGAACCAAACAAAAAAATCGTTTTTATAATCAAACTCCAAACTTTAGACTTTGTGTCAAAACTATATTTCCCATCCATTAGCTGATTAGAACAACATTCATTAGAGGATTAGGTACGATTACAAACCACACAGATGTGGTGGCTGAGCAGCTGATGAGTATCCACACAAAACTTTATCTTAATTATGGGGACGTTTCATGATTTCAAGAGATTCATTAATTGAATTTTGTTTCTTGTCTGTAGTAGATGTATCAAAAATGTTAGTTGCAGTCAATTGATTTTTGGAAACTTCGGACCCCCCTCAGCCGAAGTCAAAATGAGACCGCTAACCATTGCTTTTTTTTCTTAATCATTTTGCTGGTAATCAGACCAACTACATCAAGAAAACCATTTCATAACAAATAATAATATTCATTCAATTAGTCTGTCCCTCTGCTTCAATTCTTGGTTGGGAATAATATTTGTATGTACGTGCTAATATTGGTTTTTAGTGGTCGCTACTAATCACAAAATCAATATTGTAAACTTGATTACTCAGACGCTTAAGCTGTCATAATTAATGATCCAATACTAGCTCATTTAAAGTAAAATGCCATAAACAAAAGTGGTTAAGTCTTCAAAATCTCCACGTTTCATATGGATAATTAATACTATTTCACTGCTTTTCAACTTCTAAATTTAGACGAGTAACGAAAATTCGAAATAAACTCTTCTTGAGTTAAATACAAACTCTTATTTGTCAAATAAAAATAATACAAACTCTTCTGGCTTTTGGTATCTTTAAACAGACTGTAAGCAAACGTGATAAAAAGAGTCGAACCTGACAAATCTTATAAAAAAAGAAAAAAAAATTCTTAACAATCGTTAGAAATTGTTGTTGGTGTGAATGTGACACTGAGACATTTTTGATTAAACAATGACTGATTATAGAATTTTAATTTCGTCTGCGTATAAAAATATGATTAACAGCCTAATAATAATTTCACGAGTCACGACGCTGTAATGATTTCCCTTTTATAGCCTTTACTTCTTCCTTACTACTGGCACCGAAGAAAAACCCTTTAATCAAATCAATCGCCAAATCTCCATTCTGTTCCTTTATTTCCGGTTCTCAGTATTATTCTCCATCGCTCGTCTTCGTGAAGCTCACTGCCAAAACCAGTTTTCACTTTCTTCACGAGCTTCTTTCCATAACTTTGGACCACAAAGTCAGGTTTTTGTATCTATCTTTAGCTCCTTTGTTGAAAAAACTGGGAATGTTCCTTGCTGGTTTCAGTGGTTTGTAGATTGGATCTGGAGAATAGAAAAGTTTGTGTTTTTGAATACACAATTCTTCAGTTTAATGCTTTTTCTTGCTCATTTCTAGTGTTGGGTTTAGTAAAAATTGAACCTTTTTTTTAAACCAAAAAAAAAAATGAACCTTTTTCGATTCTGTTTTCTCTTATAGCATTGGGTTTTTCTCTCTTAAGGATTTGTGGTATTTTCTCTAGTTGAATTTACCTTTCGATTGTGTATTTGATTAGTTGATTTTCGTTGTGTGCACTAGACTAGTGGCCACAATAACTTTATCCAATAGTTGCAGTCAAATTTGTGCCACAGAATATCTCTGGAGTAGACTATAAGATAGGTCGATGCAAGATCCAATTTTTAGTAACTGAATTGGTGTTTGCTAAAGGAGATTTGGTTTGGTTGGTGAAAAAACATATTATGCATCTTGTTCATTAATCATTAGCTGTTTTTAACCAAAGTACTTCACTTTCATCTCAGGGTTAAAGCAGCATTTGCAGACCTACAAGCTGTTTTGGTGACAACTGACAGAGTCTGAGATGGGTTCAGGGAATATATTTAAGGCAATAATTGGATCAAAGAGTGGGAAACAAAAGAGCAGCAAAAGCGAGAAGGTATAATAGTATGCATTGCTGCAGAAACAGATTAAGCCAGCTGAATTTTGTATCATAGTATTGTTGAATTGGCCTTCTTTTGTGACAGGGAGTTTCTACTGCTGTAAAAACAAAATCTTCCAAGAAGAAAGGAACTCATGCTTCATCGCTGGTTATTCGTAGCGAGGATTGGGCTGCAACTCGAATTCAGTCTGCTTTTAAAGCCTATGAGGTCCATTTGAGTTGTTGCTATTTCCAAACTTGTTTGCATAATTTTATTTATATTCACATTTGAATTTTAAGGGATCTTGTTGTGCTTTTTTGGCGTTTGCACAGGCTAGAAAAGTCTTACGGCGTCTACAAGGAATTGCAAGAGCAAAGTTGTTAACTGAAAAACATTCAGTGAAGAAGCAAGCGGTGGTTACATTGAGGTATCTTCACTCATGGAGTAATATACAGTCTCAGATAAAGGCTCGCCGAGTTTGTATGGTTACAGAAAGCAGACTGATGCATAAAAGATTAGAGAATCAGCAGAAGCTTGAGGCTAAGCTCCACGATATTGAGGTAAGACTCTGTCTTTGTCGCCTATATCCTAAAGCTTTGGTCTTTCGTTTGGCATTTGCGTTTACATGTTGCAAAAACACCTCTTTATGACCTGAAACATGTTTCTTGAGCTGTTTTTCTTAGTCTTGGAGACACATCTTACTTCAGTTTTACTTTACCTCAAACTCTCTTGAGCTATTTAAAGATGATGATAGCAATTGCAGGTTGAATGGAATGGTGGATCAGAGACAAAAGATGAAATCTTGGAGAGGATACATCAAAGAGAAGAAGCTACGATCAAGCGGGAAAGAGCCTTGGCATATGCTTTCTCTCATCAGGTAAATAAAAAACCTTTCTTTCTTGTTTAATGCTTTCCATTGTGAAAAAAAATTAAAACTTTTTGAATCTATGGTGTCAATGAGCAGTGGAAAGCGGATGGCAAGACTCAGTGGCTGGGGGGTTATGAGCTGGGCAATACTAATTGGGGTTGGAGCTGGAAAGAGCGTTGGGTTTCTGTTCGTCCATGGGAAGTTAGATATTTAGTGACTCCTAAGAAACCAAAGAGCTCAAAGACAGTTGGTTGCAAGAATGAGACTAACTCAAACTCACCGGCGAAGAGAGCAGTGTCATTACCACCGGCTTCATCCAAAGCTCCGGTTTCTTCTGGAGCTAGAAATGCAGTGAAGCCACGGAGATTGTCATTTCCCGGAGCTTGAAGTGAAGAAGAGTGAGAGTATACACGTAATGACACTGGAAGATTTGAGGGTATATTTATTTGGTCTATGTTCTGTCTCTGGTGTGATGTACATACATGTTTTTGCTATGTAGGTGACAATGGTGGTTTTTGGTTTGTTTAATGCATTTGATTGTCTCTATCAAAATTGGAGTTTTATTTGAAATAGATCATGTAAAAGAGATGGTCAATTACAAGTTGGGATTATGTAATTACACATTTTGGATGCACAAAAATGTGTTTTTTTTCCCTTGTTCCAATCAAATTTAAAATTGTTTCTTAAAGGGATCATGAGGACTAGATTCTAGAATAACAATGATTGGATGTTATTAAAGTGTAGGGCAAAAAAGATTCACTTTTGTGTCATTTACCAAAACTTCCAATTTGCTCTGCCTTTCAACCTACATGTGTAATTCTCTGCAATTTCATGAAGACCGGAGTAGCAGCCGCGCCGCCGACGGCGAAAAGCTTCACTTTTGGATCTTCCAGACTCTTCGCCTTGGCGGAGAAGCTGCGTCTATATAAGCCGCCGCCGCCGCTTTCTTCACTGTTCGACGAGGCGGAAGAGATGCGTGCGGAGGGCATCGGGAAATCGATTTCCGACGTTGGGTTTCAGGAATCTATTGCTCCGGTGAGGTTTAGACCGAAGAAAGCGGCTGTTTTGGTCTGTCTCTTCGAAGGAGACGACGGTGATTTGCGTGTAATACTCACTAAGAGGTCTTCCACACTGTCCACTCACTCGGGTTTGTACTTGATATTCATAGTTTGCTGAATTTTTACGATTAACATATTTGGAATAAACTAGAAATATATCTATGTAAGCCCAATTCATAACGATTTGAGTGGGATTTGCTTTCATTGTGGGCGAAACGTTTAAAAGTCTCGTCTTTGAAGCCATTTATCTAACTGTTGCAGGAGAAGTTTCTTTGCCAGGTGGTAAAGCAGAAGAGCGTGATAAGGATGATGGTTATACAGCAACCAGAGAGGCAGAGGAAGAGATTGGATTAGACCCTTCGCTTGTTGATGTTGTTGCTTTCCTCGAACCATTTCCGTCTCAGGTATAAAAAAAGTGCTCAATGTCCCCCTTTGTCTCGTTGGTTCTCTTGATGCATGTTCGTTTCAAAGTCTGATAGCTGTGTTTTGTGAGGACATATAGTTACGATTGATTGTTATTTGTGAGGCGGATTTGTGTTTTGAAGTGCCGAGGCCATATTCTTAGTTACCAGTGGTTCTCGTTTGACCATTTGTGATTTCCACAACTGCTTTTAACCCATGTTTGTAGTTCAATTACAGTTTTCTAGTGTCCTAGTATCAGAATAATGGTAACTGGCTAACTGCAGTGGCTCTCTATCTGTTTTAAGATCCTGAATAACTTACAGTAGTTGCTGAAAAGCCTTGATATCCTACTTTTCATTGTTGGTTTAAGCTCTATGCCAAATTGTTGCTGCCATATACCAAGCTTTCTTTAGGTTTTATAAAGTCAGATATGCATAATTCTCTTTGAGCAATTTTTTTGCTTATCTGTGCTTCATTTTCCAATGCAGCATCTGCTTAGAGTAGTTCCTGTAGTAGGAATATTATGGGACAAAAAAGCATTCAATCCAACGCCAAATCCTGCAGAAGTGGAAGCTGTGTTTGATGCACCCCTTGAAATGTTTCTGAAGGTTCTTTTTTTTTTTTTATCAATGATGTTTTATAGTTGCAGTCTTTATTACACCGAAGTATTGGTCGTTAAACAATATCTTACACAGGATGAGAACCGAAGATCCGAGGAGATTGAGTGGATGGGGGAAAAGCATTTGGTCCACTTCTTTGATTACAAAACAGGAGATGAGGATCATGTTATATGGGGTTTAACTGCCAGAATTTTGATAAGAGCTGCAACAGTGGTTTACCAACGACCA